TCTCTCCCTCTCTCCCCCTCTCTCTCTCTCCTGACAGCCCGTCAGTATCTCCTGCAGCTCACTGATCCAGTAATGAGTGATGCGACAGTGAAGAATAAATATATTTATAACTAGTTTAGCTTGTTCCAGAGGTAGATCAAATAGAACTCACATGTGGGCTCCCTGCAGATGACGTAGAGCGACACCTCGCTGGGCTCGCTCTCTCCCGCCTTGTTGATGGCGGTCACTCTGAACTGGTAGGCGTTTCCTTCGGTGAGGCCGCACACCTTCAGCGTGGAGTCCAGGTGAGCGCCGTCGCGGTTCACCTTCACCCAGCGGGCGCTCTTCCTCTCGCGGCGCTCCACCAGATAATGAAGCAGCGGGCTGCCGCCATCACTCTCCGGCTTCAGCCACTCGATGGTGGCGAAGTCCTCTGCTGAGACCAGGATCTCTGGAGCGCCCGGAGGAGAGGGCACGGCTGGAAGTAAAGGGTGAGAACTTAGTAGGGCTTCATTTTGACAATGAGGTAATACTAACTTCACTTTTGGTCCGAAAGTCAATCAGGTCAGAAAAGTCCAAATTCAGAAATGTTTCTCTTATTCCAAAGAAAGTTAATAAAATGGATATGGTGTTTCCTTTGTAGTGCATGAAGAACATGGTGTTGCCTTCAACATAAGAACAGATCAGTGACTTACTGAAGGTGTTCCTGGCCACCATGGCCTCGGACTGCAGGGGAACTCCGGTGCCATACTTGTTGACCCCGCGGACCCTGAACAGGTACTCTGTGTTCTTGAAGAGCCTGGTGATGTCACAGGTTGTCTCCTTGCACTCGGCCTGCATGACGACCCAGTTCAGTCTGTTGGTGTCACGGCGCTCCACCAGGAAGTGGGACACGTCTTCACCGCCGTCCTCCAGAGGAGGTTTCCAGGTGAGGGAACAGGACTCTTCTGTGATCCTGCTGACCTCCAGGCTGCCCTCACATACCCCAGGGGTGTCTGCGGAAACAGTTGCACAGTTTATTGAGGGCAACTACAGTACTTTAGTCTGTGAGCTGTGCTACTAAAGAAAACCTTAATTTAAGGCACTCTGTGCACCCGTTTACTTAATAAACCCTTAACTCTGACACTTGCTCTGCTGCACTTCCCTTTGTGTTATTATTATAATCACAATGTGAATTTGCACTACCCTCATTTTAATGCACTATTATCTTAAATGATGATCCATTTGATCAGTGTCTATTCTCTGCTGACTTTACGTCTTTTGTATGGCTTTTATTGGTAACTGCATTCTATGTGATATACATTTTCTCTACTGCAACTCTTGCAGTCCAAAGTCTGGCTTTAATAAACCCTTAAGTCTGACATTAATAAACCCTTAAGTCTGACATTAATAAACCCTTACCGAGCACTTTGACGTTGACCTCGGCGGTCTTGGTCCCGCTCACGTTCCTGACGGTCAGGAAGTACTTCCCGGTGTCGTCGCGGTCGCAGAACTTGATGATGGCCATGGCCCGTGTGGGGGTGTACTGCAGATGGTACTTCTCGCACAGCTCCAGGTCCCTGGTGCCCTTTGCCCAGGAAGCCTTGGGGTCCGGCCGGCCTCCAACGGCAGCGTCCAGAACCAGGTCTGAACCGGCCCTGACCCGCACCATCTCCGTCAGCAGTTTGCTGTCCAGCTGCGCCTTGGGAGGCTCTGTGGGGGAGGGGGCAACGTACTGATCAGACCAAAACAACACCTAGATATAATCCAATTTAAATATGCTTATGTATATCATATCTATATATTTCTGTTGCCTCGTGACATTTATTTTGTAGAGTATTCAAATGTATTCAGTATTTATTCTATTTGTTCTACATTATTAGATACTCTAGTGATATATGTATTTTCTATTTGTATATATTTGCTGTACATTTTATCATATCTTTTTATCTTATTCTATCTTTTGAATATTTGTAACTCATTTGTAATGCTTGAAGACACATAAGTGTGTCACTGCTGTGTGTCTGTCTGTCTGTTTTATATTAAAGCCACAATCTCTAAATACAGAAATGATCGTAAACTCGGCTCCTACACATATCACATTTATATTTATGTTTTTTGGGGGCAGGTCTTACCGAAGTCGGTCTTGCACTGCACGGATCCGGTGGACAGTGACGGCAGGCTGAACACCTGGTTGGCGTTCTTGGCGATGACCCTGAACTCGTAGGGCTCGCCCTCGCCCAGCGCCGTCACGGTGTACACCGTGTCGACCACGTTGGTGTAGTTACACTTCAGCCAGCGACCCTCGCCGGTCAGCGTGTACGGCTTACGCTCGATGATGTAGCCCAAGATGGGACTGCCGCCGTCGTTCAGAGGTGAAGACCACTTCAGGGACACGGTGGATCTGGTGACGTTGGTGACCTCGGGTTTACTGGGTGCATCTGAGGAAGGAAGAAGCAGAGATCAGTAAAGAGGAAGTAGAGTTCAATGAAGAGGGAACTGGGATCAGTTAAGGGAAAGTCAGATCAGTTAAGGGAAAGTTAGATCAGTTAAGGGAAAGTCAGATCAGTTAAGGGAAAGTTAGATCAGTTAAGGGAAAGTCAGATCAGTTAAGGGAAAGTTAGATCAGTTAAGGGAAAGTCAGATCAGTTAAGGGAAAGTTAGATCAGTTAAGGGAAAGTCAGATCAGTTAAGGGAAAGTTAGATCAGTTAAGGGAAAGTTAGATCAGTTAAGGGAAAGTCAGATCAGTTAAGGGAAAGTTAGATCAGTTAAGGGAAAGTTAGATCAGTTAAGGGAAAGTCAGATCAGTTAAGGGAAAGTTAGATCAGTTAAGGGAAAGTCAGATCAGTTAAGGGAAAGTCGGATCAGAACTCACCGACAGGGTTCTGGGCGACGGCCCCCTTGGAGGCCTCGCTGGCCTTGCTGAGGCCGCCGCTGTTCATGGCGTAGACCCTGAACTGGTACTCCAGGCCCTCCACCAGACCCTCCATCTTGCTGTAGCATTCGAAGCAGGGGATCTTGTTCTCCCTCACCCACAGGATGTTGTTCCTTTCCTTCTTCTCGATCCAGTAGCCCGTCACCTTGCTGCCGCCATCGTGGTAAGGCTCCTCCCACTTAAGGGTCATCGTGTTGGCGGTAACGTTGCACACTGAGGGCCGTGTTGGGGGGCCAGAGGGGGCTGCGATTGAAATAGAGAGATGTTTACTTTCTGAACTGGGAAGTAGATTCTAGAGAGTGTCATATGCACAGTAGCTAGAGTGCAAGAAGAAAACAGTGTTCCAGTAATGCAGGAGAAGTCTATATACGTCAATAGGCAGATACATATATTTATGTTAAAAAAAAGAATCCAAATGTAGCAGAGAATGTTGTAGGTGACCAAGTGAATGCAGGAGTCTATATACATGTACATGGGATTGGATGAACAAGAACAGAATCAAGCAGTTTATTGTAGACATAAATAAATTGTGAGATGCAAACAGATGAATGCTTAAGGCATATTCATAGTTGTATTACTATTATTATTATTAACTGATTTGATATACAATCTTGCAAAGTTTGAGAGTGAGTTACTCACTGAATGGATGCTCGGCGACGATGGTCTCAGACTCGATGTGCTTACTGACTCCGAACTGGTTCTCTGCGGACACCCTGAAGCTGTACTGCATGTACTTGGTGAGGTGGCCGACATCCAGAGTGGTGCGCTTGATGCTGGAGTTGATGAGCTGCCAGGCGGTGGAGCCGGACTCACGCTTCTCCACGATGTAGTTGGTGATCGGCGTACCTCCGTCATCTTCTGGCGCCTCCCAGTTGACGACGCAGGACTCAGAGGTGATGGATGTGATCTCCACGGTTCCGCTGGGAGGATTAGGTCTGCCCATGACGTTCACTTCAATAGAGAAGGTCTTGGTTCCGGTTACGTTCTCAAGGGTGAGGAAGTATTTACCACCGTCTCCCCTCATGGCCTCCTTCGTGGAAATGGTTGTCCGGTCCTTTGTAGTTTGGATGGAGACTCTGTCGGTGTTCCTCAGCCTCATCTCCTCCAGCGTCCAGGTGACCTTAGGAACGGGTCTGCCACTGATGGGGATGTCGATGGTGAAAGTCTTTCCTGAGTTGCATGTGATGAGTTGGTTGGGGATCTCGCTGAGGTCGGCAGCGGGTTCAATGTGCGGCTCTTTTACCAGAGCAGCCACCAGAGTTTCCCTCGGCGTGCTGCAGCCGGACTCGTTCTTGGCCTTCACACGGAAGTTATACTCGTCTCCCTTGTTGAGCTTCTCCACCGTGTAGGTGAGATTGGTGGTATTGCCCACCACCATCCATTTGTCTCCATCCTTTGCCTTGGCCTCAATGATGTAGCCCTGGATGCGGCTGCCGCCGTCATGCTCTGGTTTCAGCCAGCCCAGCACCACGGTGCTGTCAGTAGTGTCAAGGATGTCCATCCTCTTTGGAGACGCCGGCTCTGCCGTGGCGATGATGGGATTGGTTATCTCAAAGGCCTCGCCCATGCCATGCTGGTTCTCTGCTGAGACCCTGAAGAAATACGGCACTCCTTCCAGGAGGTCCTGGATCCTCAGGATGTGCTGCTTGCAGTTGCCTCCAGACTGTGTCCATGTGCGGCGGCTAGCCTCGCGCCTCTCCACAACATAGTGATGGATTCTCGCTCCGCCATCATTAAGAGGAGGCTCCCAGACGAGGGTGACGGTGCCTCTAGAGATCTCCTTGAAGGCCACGGCCTGCGGAGGTCCGGGCGTGTCCATCACCTTCACAGTAAAGGTGACGGCCTTGCTGCCAGTGGCATTCTCCAGGGTCACGGTGTACTTGCCGGTATTGTTCCTGGAGCAGTTCTCAATGCTCAGAGAACTGAAGCCGTCTGAACTTGTGACCTCTGACTTGACTCCCAGCTCTCCTTCTTCCTTTACCCAGGTAGCCGTTGGGACTGGCTTTCCTCTGAAGTTAACGCCAAGGTTAACTGAAGCTCCAGGTTTGACGATGTGTGTCTGCCTGAAGCTGGCGTCGATGTCCACCATTGGTGGCGTTTGCCTCTCAACGGCATGTGCTGGCTCGGGGATCTCCCGCTCCTCGCCACGGCCAATGTGATTTACGGCAGCCACTCTGAACCTGTACTCGCCGCCGGTCTGTAGAGAAGTCGCTGTGTAGTTTGTCTCTGCCACGAGCTCTTCGTTTACTCTCGTCCATTCCTCTTCTTCTCCCTTCGCCATCTCAATAATGTAACCCATGATCTCTATGCCACCATCATCGGCAGGTCGGGACCACTCCAGGCTGATGGAGGTGTTGGTGGAGTCGGACACACACACCACAGACGGAGCACAGGGAATGTCCTTGGGCTCGGCGGCTTTGATCGGTAAGGAAACGTTACTGGGAGCTCCCACGCCGGCGTCGTTGACGGCCATGACGCGGAACTCGTACTCCATATCCTCCGTCAGGTTGGGCACCTTGTGGGCGCACTCTATAATGGGCTTCTTGGTGATCACCTTGTAGAACTTGACAGTCTTCTTCTCTCGTTTCTCCACGATGTAGGACTGAATGGGGTTACCTCCATCAGAGGTAGGAGCCATCCAGGACAGCGTGATGCTTTCACCGGTCACCTCCGTAGCATCAGGAGTGCCAGGAGCTTCAGGAGCAGCTAAGGGGAACACCGGGCATTAGAACAGGGTTTTCAAAGAAGAGAGAATACTAATCTTGCAGTTTACCGTGAAAATAATAAGAATAATAACTTGTGTTTAATTAGATCAGAATACATTATTACATCTTTGTGTGCTACAAGGCTGTCCAACTTACTGTATTGCATCTGTGCAATGACGGGAGTGGACTCCAGAGGTCTGCCCATACCGAACTTGTTCACAGCAGAGACCCTGAACTGGTACTCGTTGGTCTTGATGAGCTTGCTAGCATGGAAGGTGCACTCTGTCCACTCGTCAGTGACCAATGCCCAGGAGATCTTGGCAGTCTCACGCTTCTCAATGAGGTAGTGTGTGATCTCTGAGCAGCCGTCGTTCTCCGGCTCGCTCCAGGACAGCGTACACTTTCCTTCCGAAATGTTGCTGAAGGTCATGGGTCCCACCGGCTCCCCGGGGGTGTCTGCAGCACAGAGGGGCATGGGTTAAAGCAGAAATACTTATAAAACAGGCCTGTACACACCAAGGGGGCGCAAAACAACCCACAAAAAAATACAAGACAAAATTCCAAACTGTGTACCTTGGACTTGAACAAGGATGTCTTGCTTTCTGTTTCCAGATCCATTGGTAGCCTCCACGGTGTAGAGACCGCGGTGTGTACGATCAGCGTCCCGGACAAACAGCGTGCTGGATCCAGCCACGTTGATGATGTCCATCATCTGTTTGGTAACCAACACACCGTCTCTGAACCAGACCACTTTAGGGGTAGGGCGTCCGGTGATGGTGGCTTTCAGCCGGATCTTGTCTCCTGCCTTCACTGTCAAACCCTCAAAGTACTCCGGACCAAACTCAATCAACGGAGAAGCTGGTTGATAGGAGATGGGAACGCATTAGTACAGAAAGTAACTTCAATCATGAGTTATAATTAAGTCTCCAGTTTATTTCATTACTCACCATTCTCGTTTCTGACCACGATCAAGCCTGAGGAGTTGGAGGGAGGGCTGACCACGCCAATGGCGTTCCTGGCCGTCACTCTGAACTCGTAGCGCTCGTTCAGTGCCAGGCCGGTGACGGTATACTCGCATTCGTGCACGTCAGTCAGGTTGGCCTTGAACCAGCGGCCCTTGCCTTGGCGTTTCTGCAGGCTGTAGCTGGTGATCTTGCTGCCACCGTCACGTTTGGGTGCATCCCATTTCAGAGTCACCGAGTCACTGGTCACATCGGTGTAGTCGGGCTGGCCCGGAGGATCTGGAAGGCAGGAAATGCATCTTGAGACTTATTTTGGTCAAAGATTTTCATTCTAAAATTGTGGCCGATACCCGGTACCCAATCATTTCAAATGTTTTATTTGAGAAGAAGCTGATAACCTTGAGTTTATGCTCACCTGAGGGTGAGGTATTCATAAACTAAACAACACAAGGTTTTTTACGATTTATTCTAGTAAAGTATCTTTGGCCCGTGCCTCTTCTACTATTCTGAACAACAGTATTCTGATGTGAACCTGGACTCACCGACAGGGCTGACCGCCATGTTCAACTTGCTATGGTCACTCATTCGGCTGCAGCCGGCGTCGTTCTGGGCGTAGACCCGGAAGGAGTACTCAAGACCTTCGATGAGCTCCAGGATCCTGAAGTCCATCTCTTTGACCAGCACGGTGTTCACCTTCTGCCACATGATGCTGTTCTTCTCGCGCTTCTCCACATTGAAGCCATGGATGGGGCAACCCCCGTCGTAGATGGGCTGCTCCCACTGGATGGTCATGCCGTCGTTGGTAACATTGTACACCACGGGTTTACCGGGCGGGCCTGGAGGCCTGAACTGGTGCTTGGCAATGACGCTCTGTGAGACGAGAGGCTCACTGCTGCCGTATCTGTTCTCTGCACGCACTCTGAACTGGTACTGAATGCCCTTGATCAGGTTAGCGATCTGGTACTGGGTGTCCTCGACACTGGAGCAGGCCATCTTCCAGTCAGACTGGGAGGTGTCCATCTTCTCAACGGTGTAGCAAGCAATGTCTCCGCCGCCATCGTCATTTGGTTCATCCCAGGAGATCGTGATGCTCTCAGCTCTCACTTCATCCAGGCGGATGGGACCAATTGGCTTGGATGGCGGTCCGAGCGTGATGACGTTGATGTTGAAGGATCTCCTGTTGACCCTGTTGTCCAGGGTCAGGGTGTATTTACCTTCATTCTCCTTCGTCACATTCTTAATATTCAGCGTGGCTTTGTTCTCCGTCTTCTTGAAGCGGATCTGGTCGCTCTCCTTTAGAGGCAGGCTGTCCTTCAGCCAGAAGATGGCAGGTTTGGGTTTACCTTTGTAGGGCAGTTCGATGTGGACGTTGTGACCCAGACGGACACTGATGCGGCTTCCAGGGTACTCAGCAAGGCAGGCCTCAGGCGTGATAATGTAGTCGATGACCTGGATAGGACCCATCTCAACAAAGTCTCCCTGTCCCTTATCATTCCTGGCCGCCACTCTGAAGAACACTGTGGAGTGCTCCTTCAGTTTCTTCACCTCAAGCTCGCACTGTCGGCTGGTTCCTCCCAGAGACCATTCTTCGTCCTTCAGCTTCTGCTCAATGACGTATTCGGAGATGATGCTGCCACCATCGTAATCTGGCTTCAGCCACTGCAGGGTGACCGAGGTCTTGGAAGAATCCTTCATAGAAACCTCCTTGACCGGGCCAGGAGTCTCTGTGGCCTTCACAGGGTCCAGGGTGTCACAGGGATCGCCAACGCCATTCTCATTCTCCGCCATCACACGGAAGAAGTAGGAGGCCTTCTCAGAGAGGTCTTCCAGGGAGTATGTTGTTTCTGTGCATTTGCTGGTCACTGCAGAGTAGATCCTCTTGGAGGAGTCCTTCTTCTCTACGATGTAGTTTGTGATCTCAGCACCACCGTCGAGGAGTGGAGGCTCCCAGCAGAGAGTGAGCTTTCCACGAGTCACGTCCTTCAGGACCAGGTTCCTGCACTGAGCCGGGGTGTCCTGGACCTTCACGGACAGGGTCAGCGTTTTTGGCTCTCCCACACTGTTCTCTATCTTCACTGTGTATTTCCCAGTGTCAAGCCTGGTCACCTCACGCATCACCAGCACGGTGGTGTTGTCGGAGTGGTGGAACTCGTATTTGGGGTTACTGTCGATGCATTCCTCTCCTTTGCTCCAGGAAGCGGTGGGAGCTGGTCGGCCCTTCAGAGGAACAGACAGCTCCACATCCTTACCGGCCTTCACGATGTAGTGACTTCTCATGGCCACGTCGGGGTCGATTTGGGCCTCCTCTGTGAAAAGCATGGAGAAAATACAAAATCACACAGGGCCGGAGATATGTGTGCAGCAAAGCATGCAGCCGGGTTCTGCCTGTTCAAACACATTTCCAGAGTGATAGTACAGGTTTTGATGGATTACAATAGGTTTCAAATCAAAGCCTACACATTTCTGTCAGGAAAACTTCTGCACATCATTTAATAAATCTTGGTTGAAGGGTGTAACATGAACCAAAGAAAACACATTTTAAGCAGTAACTGTCCGTGAACGTAAATATGTAGGAGACAGGGTTCTAACACACTTCACAACACAAGTGATTTATTACCCAGGATGTCTTTAGCTTGCACAGCCTCGGTCATCTCTAGAGATTCTCCACGGCCGGCACAGTTCACAGCTGAGACCCTGAAGAAGTAGTTGACGTCTGGTTTCAAGTCGTGGACGATGTACTCAGTGGTCTTGACTTCTCCCTTGGCAGTGACCATGGCCCACTCTTCTTCTCCCTCAACAAGCTTCTCCAGCATGTAGCTGATCACCTCACTGCCGCCGTCCCATTCTGGCTTGGACCAGCCCAAGGTGATAGAGGTCTTGGTGGAGTCAACAACCTTCAGCTTGCAAGGCTCATCCGGAGTTTCTGTAAGGCAGGGCACATGTGTTTAGGAAGCTCATAACAAAGGGCTTTACGGATAAAAAAACCCCAATAAAAGCACATTTGTGAACACTCACCAACAGGGTCCGCAGCCTTGTAGTTGTCGGAAACTTCAGAGAACGGTCCCTCTCCGGCCCTGTTGATGGCACACACTCGGTACTGGTACTGGTTTCCTTCTGTCAGGTGGTACACCATCTTCTTGATGTCTGCGATCGCCTCTTTGTAAACCCGGATCCAGCGCAGGCTCTTCTTGTCACGCCTCTCCAGGTAGTATCCGGTCACCGTGCTGCCGCCGTCCATCCCCGGTTTGTTCCACTCCACCAACATGGTGGTCTTGGTGATGGTGTTCACCTCGGGAGTGTGAGGCTGCCCAGGAGTCACTGGGAAAAGGTAGAGAAGACAGGTTAGGACATGCTAATGATAAAATAAGTCCTTGACCTATTTCTCCATAAAGGAAATTATTTTGAAACAAAACCGACTGTAATGGCTGCAGATTAACGAATAACTTTTATGCAAGTAAGTAATATAAGTACGCTTATTGTGATCTAAAAACATAAAGCAAGTAATACTGTTTCAATGATGTTAGGGTCTACATTTTTAACTATCATCTAGACAAGACTCAAGTTAGTTAAAACTAAGAACAGTCTTTATTACTAAAACTCAAAGAGCCATTCAACTGAAACTCTGATATTCACATGATCACAAAACTTACCGAAGGCGTTCTTGGCGATGACGGGCTCTGACACCAGCGCCTCTCCCACTCCGAACTTGTTCACGGCCATGACGCGGAACACGTACTCATTTCCACGCACCAGCTTCCCAACGCAGGCGTAGGCCTCCTCTTGGCAGTCCGACACGGTGGACCAAACCAGGCGGCTGGTCTCACGTCGCTCCACGATGTAGTGCGTCACTGGGAAGCCTCCCTGGTCCGGCTCGGGCACCGGCTCCCAGCTGAACATTATCTTGTCCGCCGTGACGGAGTTGAAGTTGATGAGGCCGGCTGGGGGTCCGGGTTTGTCTACAGGAGGAGAAATAACATTAATGAGGTGCCCCCTTGCCTGAAGTGTGTCCTAAAGGCGTTAGTGCATGTAAATGGTCAGCAAAGGCTAAATGGCCAAGTCCATAGGGACTTGGCTTGGCTTGTCGTCTATCACAGTGCACTGATATTTGTTACTAACTGTAAAGCACTTACTCATCACTGTACCCTGTCTGCCTTTGGCTCAGTCATTGGTACATGTTCATCTACAAAGCCATGTTGGGTAAACTACCATCTTATATCTGCTCTCTGATCACACGGAGAGTTGCAACTAGCTATTGCCTGAGATCTCCAGCCGGCCAGCTAACCAATCAGAGCAGACTAGGCTCTGGTTTCAGGCAGTATGAGAAAAATAAAGAGCTTTTTGAACATTCAAACATGGAAACATGTCTAAGGAAAGTGGGTTTGTGTAATCACCGAGGATCTGGATCCTGATGTTGGCGGTCGCTGAGCCCAGAATGTTCTTGATCTTGATCTCATAGGATCCGCTGTCGGTGCGCGCGGCGTCCTTGATGAGAATGGTGGTGGAGTCGGTGGTGCTCTCCACCGACAGCTTGGAGGTTAGCAGCAGCTCCTTCCCGTCCTTCAGCCACTCGATGCTGGGCAGCAGCTGGGCCACGATGCCCACCCACAGCTTCACAGAGGACCCGGCTTTGTACTGAACCACGTCCAGGAACTCCGGAGGGAGGTCGATGGCCGGGGCGCCTGAGGAGGCAAGAGGCAAAGATCAAAAGGTGCAAAGAAAAAAAAGCATCCGACTCAGCATATATATTACCTTATGTTTATTTCTTTATTTGTATTTTTGTATTTTATTGCACGGTTGGAGGAGCTCGGGTCAGAAGAATTGCATTGCCATTTCTACTCTGTAGCTTATTTGCATATGACAATAAAACCTTTGAATGTTGAATCTCAGATCAAAACAAACATATGTAATAAATGTGATGTCATGGGAAGTCTCACCGCAGGTATCCACGCAGGTGACGGGGCCGGCGTTGAGCGACGGGTTGCTGACGGAGCCCACGGCGTTCTTAGCGTAAACTCTGAACTCGTAGGCCTCGTTCTTGTTGAGGCCGGAGACGGTGAAGCCCATCTCGATGATATTGGTGAAGTTGGCCTTCACCCAGCGGCCGCTTCCAGTGTCGCGCCGCTCCACGCTGTAACCTGTGATCTTGCTGCCGCCGTCGTACGGAGGCCGCTGCCACGCCAGGCTCACAGAGTTCTTGGTCACCTCGGTGACATGCACGTTAGCCGGGGGCTCTGCGACATTAGAGAGGGAAATATGTTCATGAAATCAGACCTAACATTCGTGAAGTCAGCTGTTTTACCCTGGGTACCCAAAAACCTGCTGCCGGCTATCTTTAAGAAAAATAGACGTCAATATATATATATTTGACTATTTATGTTATTATTTTATAATTATTGGTGTTCAGTGTCAGATTATTTTGCTAACATAGAAGAATCTTTTTATAATTAGTGTGGTTTAGTGTCCCAAATGCTTACTGATAAGCCCCTCATTTTGTTTTAAAATGACACATAAAGCTTTGAAGAAGTTCTAAATGTAAATTTGAACTTCCCAACAATCAAAAAACATATAATTCAATACCAAAATCATCAAAATGGATACGGTGCTTAACATTTGCTTAACAAGGTTTGAATTTATACTGCAGCGAAACCAGGAGAACAGGAAACACTCACCGCAGGCGTCAATGGCCAGCACCTCCTCCGAGGTCTTGCTCATCTTCCCGATGCCGGCGGCGTTCTCCGCAGACACCTTGAACTCGTAGATGAGTCCGGCGCATATGTTGGTGACGCGCCACTGGTTTCCGGAGATGGCCGTCTTGTTGACCTTCTGCCAGAGGATGCTGCTCCTCTCCTTCATCTGCACGTGGTATCCGATCACCGTGCTTCCGCCGTCGTTGACGGGCTCGTTCCAGCACACCGTCAGACTTTCGCGGGACACGAAGCTGAACCACGGCGTGGAAGGAGGCCCAGGGAAAGCTGCAGGAGAGGACAGCGTTAGTGTTTACTCAGCAACAACCACAAAGCATGCAATCACCCTGTGCACCTTATTATAGATGTAGAAAAATCGAAAAGAAAGATTTTTTTATCTAGCACACTTACTGTACGGCAGCTTGATCATGATGGGCTTGGTGTCGATGTGGTCGCTGAGGCCATAGCGGTTCTGGGCCCTGATCCTGAACTGGTACTCCTCGCCCTTTGTGAGCTTGTTGGCCTTGATGGCGCTGCGAGCGATGCTGGTGGACACCTCGGTCCAGTTGGGGGTGCTGGTCTGACGCCTCATGACGGTGTAGTTGGTGACGGGACTGCCGCCGTCGTACTCGGGACACGCCCATTTCAGACAGACTGTGGTCTCGCCAACCTCTCCCACCTCCACCGGGCCAATCGGGGGCCCGGGGCGGTCCAGGACCACGAAGATGAGGAAGATCTTGGTGGTGCCACCAGCGTTGGAGGCGGTGACTTCGTACCTGCCGGCGTCGCTGGAGATGCTTTCGTTCAGGGTGATGATCAGACTGTCGGGGGTGACTTCCGTCAGCAGCCTCTTGGAAGCCTTAATCTGTATGTTGTTCTTCGACATGGTGACCTTGGGAGTGGGCCTGCCGCTGAGTGGAAGCTCGAAGGTCAGGTCCGATCCAGCTTTCACATAAACCGTGTTCTTAGGGTAGTTCTTCAGGTCAAACTCTGGAGCCTCTGTGGAGAACATGAGACAGCAAGGAGGTGAGTAATGTCAGCTTCGTAGTGGCAGAGTGGAAAACTGTACAAAGATATCAAATTGTTTACAGGGACAATAAATGACTAAGATCAGCGCGTGAAGTGAAGACAGTACCGTGTATTTCCTTGACGATGACGGGCACGATCATCTCCTTGGCTTCGCTAAGGCCGGCGTGGTTCTCGGCACGCACTCTGAAGTAGTACTCGCCACACTCCCTCAGGCTCTTGATGGTGTGGTTGAGGGTCTTTACCGTGGCACACTTCACCCACTTGGTCTGTCCCTTCTCCAGGGCGTCAATTAGGTAACCCGTGACCCTGCTGCCGCCGTCGTACTCTGGACGTGTCCAGGCAATCGTTACGCTGTCCTTGGTGACGTTTGCAACTCCAAGTTTCGTAGGAATGCTTGGCACCTCTGTAACAGAGCACAGCACAATTTATGAAGCATGCATTGCAAAAGTTTGTATATATTACCTACATAGAGATGAAAAGAACAATTATTTTCATTATGGATTCATCTGCTAACTAATGGTTTGATCTAAATAAAGTGATTGATTTGTTTATTCTATTTATTCATTTATTTAACAGGGACAGTGCACATGAATTAACTGAGTTAGCCAAGAGGCTACGTATAGAACACGGTAACATGTCCATCTCAGTTACTCAAAGGACAAGGCTGGAAACAGCATACAGAGACATTTCTACAGGAAACATTACTTTCCATTTCCAAATGCCTTATTTCGTAAAACAACAGTACAAAACTCAAAGATATGAGATATTATATTCGTTGGTTTTTAAAGATATAAAACAGAGAAAAGGAGAAAATCCGTTAGCATTTACGCTTCGAGTTAAATACATTTTTTCAAGTGTCCAAATATAATGTCCATATTTGAAGGCATGAAAACAACATTTGTGCATGGAAATGATTATTTGCAGCTCTGAACTAAATGCGAAGGTCGGTTCATATGTTACCTGTGATCTTGGTTCCAGCCTTGGCCTCCTGAGAGACGCCCAAACCGTGCTCGTTCTCCCCGATGACTCTGAAGTAGTACATGGCGCCCTCTTGCAGGTCCTCCACCTTGTATGTTAGCACGTGGCAGTTGCTGGTCACAGTGACCCAAGCCTTCTTACTGGCCTCTCGTTTTTCAACGTAGTAGGCCTTCACCGCATCCCCACCATCGTTCTCTGGAGCTTCCCAGTTGAGGGTCGCAGAGTCCCTGGTAACTGCTGACACTTTGACATTGACCGGGGGTCCAGGAGAGTCCAGCACCTTGACCACCATGGGCAATGTTGCTGTTCCCAGCGAGGATTCAATAGTAACGCAGTATTCGCCCGAGTCATTCCTGGTGGCCTTCTCGAGGGTGAGTGAAGTACTGGACTCTGTGGATTCAATGGTTCCTCTGATCTTCAGATCAACACCCTCCTTGGCCCACGCCACTGACGGCACAGGTTTGCCCTTGAATGGTACCTTGAGAGTGAATGCTGTTCCATGCTTGACCATGAGTACTTTACGCAGCTCAATGTCAACGTCAAACGATGGCTCTGTGGTTCTGTCCATGGCTGTAGCCGGATCTGAGTACAGGCTGCATGTACTGCTGCCAACTTTGTTTATTGCCTTGACACAGAATTCATATTCTGTATCTGTCTTCAGTCCGCTGATGGTGAACTCCAAGCTCTTGGTAAGAGGGATGGCTTCAACCCATCTTGCCAGTTCCTCTGGGGATTCAGGTACCTCGTCTTCCTCGTCCTCATACTCATATTCTTCCTCCTCTTCTTCTGGCACCTCTGGCTCTGGTTTGTGGACGTACTCTCTGTATTCTACAGTGTATCCAAGGACAGGAGCGCCGCCATCATCTCGTGGTGGTTTCCAGACGATGGACACACTGTCCTTATTTGAAGTCACCGTCTTCGGCTTGGTTGGGCGAGAGGGAACAACCAGAGCATCCAAGGCTCTGAATGTGGCGCATTGTTCACTGGGAGGACTCAGACCAGCAGCGTTTTCAGCTAAGACTCTGAAGTCGTACTCACAACCCTTGCGCAGTTTGGTTGCTACTGTGGTACATTCAACAACTAGATCTCTGTTCACACGGACCCAACGCATGCCGGTCTTCTCACGGCGCTCAATCACGTATCCAGTGACGGGGCTGCCTCCATTGCTGGCTGGCTTGCACCAGGTGAGGGTCATTGTAGTTCCAGTAATGTCAGTGACATCCACACCAGTTGGAGCAGAGGCAAATGTGTATGGATCTGTAATCATCACAGCATCACTGTCCAGAGTCTCTCCACGGCCGTGCTTGTTGACAGCCAAGACCCTGAAGATGTATTCGTTGCCCTTGAGCAGTCCTGTGACTTTGAGGTATGTTTTTGTGACGTCCCCCTCCACCACTGTCCAGGCCAAACGGCTGGTCTCACGCTTCTCAACAACATAATGTGTGATGTCAGCCCCGCCGGCTTCCTGAGGAGGACCCCAGGACAGATCGCATGCCTGGGCTGTGAGACCTGTGATCTGCAGAGGTCCTGCTGCCGGTCCAGGCTTATCCAGAATCACACAGTGTATTGGCACGGCGACTGTGCCACCAATATTCTTCAGAGTGAGAACATACTGCCCAGAATCTCTTCTGACGCTGTCCTTCACAATGAGGCTAGTGCTGGTATCTGTTGAAACTATCTGGATCCTGGCTCTCAGCTCAATCTCTTTGCCATCCTTGGTCCAGGAAATGAGAGGGGCGGGACGTCCAGCAAGGTCAGCGTTAATCTTCAGAGTCTCTCCTGCTTTCACAAGCAATGATTCTCTGTACTTGACATCAATCATTATTCTTGGTGGATCTACATCTGCCTTGACAGTGATGGGACCGGTGGTGTCTGACGGTCCACTGAACAATCCAGCTGCATTCTTAGCAATGACCCGGAAGTCATACTGGCTGTCCTCTGTAAGGCCTGTCGCGTCATAGTGGGTCTCAGGCACATTGGTGAAGTTGCATCTGGTCCAGCGTCCTTCTGGAAGATCTCTGCGCTCAATGCTGTAGCCAGTAACCTTGGCTCCTCCATCATACTCTGGCTTCTCCCAGGACAAGGTGACAGATGTTCTGGTGACAGCAGTGACCTCAGGTGTGCCGGGAGGATCACATGGATCTCTGGCTGCTACAGCTTCACAGGCCTTGCTGACTTTACCAATGCCAGCAATATTTTCAGCATAGACACGGTACTCATACATCATGCCTTCTTCAATGCCATTGACTTTGTATTCTGTTTCTTTGATCATTCCTCTATTCAACTTTGACCAAATGATGCTAGTGCGCTCTTTCCTCTCCAGGTGGTAGCCCACAACAGGGCTGCCGCCGTCATTGACTGGCTCATTCCAGGTCACCAGCATGTAGGACTTGGTGGCCAACTTCACAATAGGTGTAGAGGGAGGTCCAGGCTGTTTGAAGTTGTACTGAGCAGTGATTCCCGGTGTATCCAGATATCCACTCTTGCCATAACGGTTGACAGCATAGATGCGGAATTGGTATTCTGCTCCATGTGTCAGGCGGCCAGCCTTGAAAGATGTTCTAGCAACATTACTTGCGACCATCTGCCATTCTTGTGTGTTTGTGTCTCTCTTCTCTACAATGTAGTTACTGATGGAGCAGCCACCATCATACTCTGGTAGAGACCAGGACAGTGTGATGCTGTCTGATGTCACTGCATCCAAATTAAAAGCTTTAGGTGGACTTGGTTTATCAAGGACAACCACTCCAATGTCTGCTGTGACAGTTCCTCCTGTGTTTGCAAGGGTGATCTCATACTTGCCAACATGTTCTCTGCAAGCTTCTTTGAGGATAATTTTGGATGAGGTTGCGGTGTTCAGGATGGTCACTGCCGATGTTTGCTTCAAAGGAAGGCCGTCCTTCTTCCAGGATACAACAGGCTTTGGTCTGCCTCTCACTGGAACCTCGAGGGTGAGGTCGCCTCCAGCCTTCACACTGTATGTGTTAAACAGTAAGTGGAGGGATGGTTCAATTGCAACATCCTTTGCAACCACAGGCAAGCCAAGATCCTTTGGCTCGCTCTTTCCCTTTTCATTGATTGCAATCACTCTGAATAGATAGACTTCATTATGACTCAGATTAGGAACGGTAGCTTCAGTCACCTTGACCGTGCACGCTGTGCCCCATTTATCTCCACTCTTAGGCATGAATTCTACATTATAGCACATGACTTTGCTTCCACCATCATGAGCAGGTTTGTCCCATACCAGAGTCACACTGGTCTTAGTCTGATCTACAAGAGTAACCTTGTTCGGTGGCAGCGGTACCTCAGACACCTTGATTTCTTTGGTTTCTACCGCCTGTCCCTGGCCATATTTATTAACGGCACAGACTCTGAAGTAGAAAATGCCACCTTCAGGCAATTCCTCAATCTTGAATGAGTTTGTCAAGCAGTTGCTGGTGACAGTAGTGTATGCCTTCCTGACAGACTCTCTCTTCTCAACAATGTAGTTTGTGATTTTAGAGCCTCCATCAGTGAGGGGTGTATCCCAGGCAAGAGTCACTGAATCCTTCTTGAGCTCCTTAACTGCGAAGCTTTGTGGTGCACTCGGTGTGTCCAGAATTCTCACTGCAACAATGGCAGACTTTTCACCACTGCTGTTCTCCAGTGTCAGTGAGTATTTTCCACTGTCAAAGCGGTTAACATTGTCAATGACAAGCATGGTGTAAGAGCTGGTGGTGTCAATAGCAGCACGGTCGGTGAGGGCACCATCAACCTTCTCCCACTTCACGGAAGGTTCAGGCCGTCCTCTAATGGCAACGAACAGACGCAGAGTTCCTCCTGCACGGACAGAAACCACCTTTCTGAGATCAGCGTCCAGCTCAATCTCTGGCGCTTCCACCCGGTCAGAAGTGACCACAGTACCGTGGACGCTAGCAGCCTCGCCCACTCCCTCTGAGTTGATGGCACAGACACGGAACTGGTACTCTCCACCTTCCTTCACGTCTGTGATAGTGAGCTTAGTGGCTTGTGTGCCAGTGGGTGGAGTGCACATGGTCCATTCCTTTACAACTGGTGCCTCTATGGCTGGCGCTACTTCTGCCTCCTCGTCTTCTTCAGGCTCTGGCGTGTACTCCCGCATTTCCACAATGTAACCCTTTATGTAGGCACCACCATCAAAGTCAGATTTGCCCCAGGTCAGGGACACAGAAGACTTGGTGTAGTCTGTCACCTTAGGATGATGTGGAGGTCCAGGTGGTGTGAGGGAATCACAAGCTCTGTAGAGCAGGGACAACTCACTGAGGTCTCCCATTCCAGCCTCGTTCTCAGCTGCAACACGGAACTCGTAGAAGTGGTCCGTCATCAGACCCGTGACCTTGAAGTGGTTGTCGGTCAGCTGTTGTCTGTTGCATTTTGTCCACCTTACACTATCCTTGTCACGCTTTTCAAGGTGGAAGGTGTCAATTTCAGCTCCACCACTCTGCTCTGGAGGAGTCCAATTCAGAACAATAGAGTCCTTTGTAATCTGACTTCCTTCTGGAGTTCCAGGAGCACTGGGGGGCTTGTAAGGATTGCGTGCAATGATGGGTTCACTCTCAAGACAATCTCCAACACCATATTTGTTGACTGCCTTGACTCTGAAAATGTATTCATTTCCAGTGAGCAGATTTTTTAGTTTATAGAATGTACCCTTAACACTCTGTGCAGCTACTGTCCAGGACAACCTGCTGGTCTCTCTCTTCTCCAAGATATAGTGAGTGATGCTAGCCCCACCATCTAGAGTTGGTTCAGACCAGGCAAGGGTGCACCTGTCAGACATGATTCCTGTCACTGTCATGGGTCCAGGGGGTGGACCTGGTTTATCAAGGACTTTGACGGTGATAGGGAAGGTTTTTGTGCCGCCTGCATTTTTGAGGACGAGGTCATAGTGGCCACTGTCAAGCTTGGTGACATCTTTAATCGTAATGGCTGTACGTTTCTGTGTAGTCTTCACTTCAATGCGCAGGGCTTTTGGCATTTCCTTACCCTCTTTTAGCCAGGCAACATCAGGAAATGGTTTTCCATATATGTCTGCATCAAGAACCAAGTGTTCACCTGCATTGATAACAATGGCATCCTTGTATTTGGGATCCATTGAGGCCCTTGGTGGTTCAATTTCATCAGTAGCAGTAATAGGTCCAGAGCTGTCGGATGGCTCGCTGAAGACTCCGGCTGCATTTCTTGCAGTAACTCTAAATTCATATTGCTCGCTCTCAGTCAGGCCAGTGACGGTGTACTCAGTCTCCACTATATTTGTGAAATTAGCTCTGACCCAGCGCTTCTCATCGGAGGCAAGATCTTTCCTTTCCACAATATATCCATTCACTTTGCTGCCACCATCATACTCAGGCTTGGTCCACTGAATCTTTATGATGGTCTTAGAGATAGAAACGGCTTCAGGAGCACCAGGAGGATCACATGGGTCACGAGCAACAAAGGACTCAGACGCTTTACTGCATCTGCCAATGCCAACAATATTTTCACCATACACTCTGAATTCATATCCAATACCCTCCTCAAGATTGCTGATCTTGAACTGAGTATCAGTGATAAGAGTCTTGTTCAGTTTGTTCCACATGATGCTGCTTCTCTCCTTGCTTTCTAGATGGTACCCAACGACCGTACTTCCACCATCATTGACAGGCTCATTCCACTCAATGATCATCATTTCCTTTGTTGCAGATTGGACATGTGGTGTTCCTGGAGGCCCTGGTGGTTTGTATGGGTATTGAACCACGATGGACTTTGAATCCAGGGATGAACCCTTTCCATATCTGTTTTCAGCTATGATTCTGAACTGGTATTCTGCACCAGTCTTCAGCTTAGGGATCTTTATTGCTGTTCTTGCAAGCTGTGTGGTGACTGACTGCCATGTTTGGGTGGTGGTGTCTCTCTTTTCCACGACATAGCTCTTTACCTGGCATCCACCCATGTACTCTGGTGGATCCCATGCGAGGTGGACAAAGGTGTTGCTCACTTCTAGAACCTTCACCGGACCTTTAGGAGGACCAGGCTTGTCAAGGACAATTATAGACAAATCCTGATTGATGGTGTTGACATTATTGGTTGCTTTGATGGAATATCTGCCGAAGTCTTCCTTGCATGCTTCAGTAATTTGAATTCCAATTATTGTTTGTGTGTTTATCACATTGACTCTTGATGTCCCAGCCAAAGGCAGACCGTCCTTGGTCCAGGATACTTGAGGTTTGGGTCTGCCAAGCAACGGGAACTCCAACCTCAGGTCTTTTCCAGCTAACACACTGTAGGTGTTGAATTGCATCTTAATGCTTGGCTCCATGGTCATGTCACTGGCAACAATGGGCGCAGCAAGAGCAATTGGCTCACTCTTTCCCTTCTCATTGTAAGCAATGACCTGGAAGAAGTATTCTGCTCCTGATGTGAGGCCTTTGACTGTGCCGTCACATGTCTTTGTATTTGTTGCGACTCCCCACTTGTCTGTACCCTTGGGTTGCATCTCAATCAGGTAGCCACCTATTCTACTGCCTCCATCATGCTCAGGCTTCTCCCAGGCCAGAGAGACTGTGGCTTTGGTGACATCAGTGATAGAGATTTTTCCAACAGGCATTGGTACCTCGGAGGCCTTGAAAGCTGCCTTTGTTTCAATAGAAGAGCCAGTTCCGAAATCATTCTCAGCCATGACTCTGAAGTAGTACAAGGCACCTTCAACCAAGTTGTCCACTTTGAAGGTTGTTGATGTGCATTTTGTTGACACATTTGCATATGCCTTTCTGGTTGATTCACGTTTGTCGATGACATAGTTCTTGATTTTGGAACCTCCATCAATCAGTGGGGCCTCCCATACAAGAGTGACAGAGTCCTTTCTAATGTCTTGAACAGCGAGTTTCAGTGGGGCGCTGGGTGTATCCAGGACTTTAACCGAAACAATCTCAGACACAGTCCCACTGCTGTTGGTCAGACTCAAGGAGTATTTTCCAGAGTCATTCCTGTCACATGAGTCAATGGACAACTGTGTGAAGTTCAGAGCTTTCTCAACCACCACTTTTTCAGTCAAGTCTCCCTCATCCTTAGTCCACTGAACCTCAGGTGTTGGCCTGCCCTTGAATGGAATATGGATTCTAACAGATCCACCAGCTTTCACGATGATGCCCTTCCTTAGCTCTGAGTCGAGCATGATTAGAGGTGGCTCCACCCTTTCCTCTGGTTTAGCTGTTCCAGAAAGAGATGCTGGCTCACCAACTCCCAGTTTGTTCAGAGCACACACCTGGATTTTGTATTCCTGACCCTCAGTCAGTTTGGTAATTTCATATTTGTTGACACGCAGGCCAGTAGGGGGAGTAACCATGGTCCATTCTTCCTCTTCAGCCTTGCAGACTTCAACAATGTATCCTTGGATTTCACTGCCACCATCAGACAGTGGCTTACCCCAGGACACTGAAATAGAGCTCTTTGTGGAGTCACTTACATTCACATATGCCGGTGCACCAGGTTTGTACTTGGGGTCACTGGCCTTGTAGTATGGAGTTGGGAGGCTTGGCACTCCTGCTCCAACAACATTCTCAGCTGTGACTCTGAACTCATATTCATGGGCAGAGGTTAGGCCTGTAACTCTGAAGGACAGATCAGTGACCTTCTGTCGGTTGCATCTAGTCCACTTGATTCCCTGCCGGTCCTTCTTTTCAACAATGTAATTGGTAATCTCACTGCCTCCTTCGGTGTCAGGGGCTAACCAAGAGACGGTCATGCCATCATGTGCAATGTTGGTTACTTCCTCCATGTGAGGTTGACCAGGAGCAACAAATGGAGTCTTCATAATGGCTGCACTAGACAGCAGTGGTTCACTGATACCATAACCGTTAACCGCCATGACACGGAACATGTACTCATTGCCTTCCAGTAAATTGGTGACTTTGTAGCATGTGTGTTCACAGCTGTTAGAAACAATAGTCCAAGCGAGGCGGCTGGTCTCTCTTCTCTCGATGAGATAGTTTTTAATAGGACTACCTCCATCATGTAGAGGGGCACGCCAGGCCAGTGTGCATCTATCTTCAGCTACTCCCGCGATGTGAAGGGGTCCTTCACATTGGCTGGGCCTGTCCAGGACCACCACCTTGAATGGAACAGTTTCACTGCCAGCGCAGTTTGTCAGCTGAAGAGTGTAATCTCCACCATCAACTCTGATAGAGTCCTTAATTACAATCATGGCATGGTTTTCTGTGTTCTTTATTTCCAGTCTGAGTGTATTCTCGATTGGTTTTTCACCCTTGAACCACTGGATTGTAGGGGCTGGCTTGCCAGAGACATCTGCGTCCAGCTTGAATGTCTCTCCAGCATTGATGATGATGGTCTTGGTGAATGCAGGGTCGATGGAGAATTTGGGTGCCTCAAACTCATCGCTCACAGTGATCGGTCCACTGTTGTAGGATGGCTTACTGACGGTGCCTACAGCATTTTTGGCAATGACTCTAAAGTCATACTGGGCATTTTCAGTCAGACCAGTGACAGTGAACTTGGTCTCAATCACATTAGTGAAGTTTGCCCTTACCCACCTGCCCTCTGGCAGATCACGCCTCTCCACGGTATAGCCGGTGATATTACTGCCACCATCATATTCTGGTTTAGTCCATTGGATGATGATGGTGTCTTTGGTCACATGGATGGCCTCTGGTGTGCCAGGAGGATCACATGGGTCACGTGCAACACAGCCCTCTGAGAGCTTACTGCACCTTCCAATGCCAACAATATTCTCAGCATAAACTCTGTATTCATACTCAATACTCTCCTCCAAGGGGTAACTCTTGAAAATAGGCTCATGGATTAGTGTCTTGTTGATCTTGATCCAGAGAATACTGTTCCTCTCTTTCCTCTCGAGATGGTATCCAAGGACAGGACTGCCTCCATCTACGACAGGCTCGTTCCACTCAACAATCTGGTGGTCCCGAGAGAGGGAGGAGACGAAGGGGGTGCCTGATGGACCTGGCTCTTTGTATGGGTACTTAGCGACCACGGCGGGTGAATCCAGACCGTGACTCTTGCCGTAGCGGTTCTGGGCAATGATCCTGAACTGGTACTCAGATCCAGTCTTCAGTCTAGGCACTTTGATGGTGGTTCTTGCCCAGTTGTTGCTCACATTTTCCCAAGATGTGGTAGTAGTATCTCTCTTCTGTACAATGTAGTTTGAAATCTGGCAGCCACCATTGTGTTTTGGTGGATCCCATGAAAGAGTGATACTCTGTGTTGTAATTTCATCGAACCTCACAGGGCCAGATGGAGGGCCGGGTTTGTCAAGTACAATGATTTCAAGGGATGTGTCCTTCTTTCCTGCTGAGTTAACAAGGTTTATACTGTACATGCCACCATCATCACCAGTGGCCTCCTTAATGCTCAGTGTTGTATGTGTTGGTGAGTTGAGAATGTTGACTTTGGTAGTGAACTTCAAAGAAGCCCCATCTTTACTCCATAAGACTTTTGGTTTGGGTCGTCCATAGATGGGAACGTCAACATTTAGGTCTTTGCCCACAAGGACACTGTAGCTGCTGAATGCTGGTCGAACTTCAGGCTCAAAGACTAGGTCTGTGGTCATCACTGGACCAGAAAGGACTTTGGGGTCACTTTTTCCCTTATCGTTGATTGCTGTGACTCTGAACAGATACTCCTCTCCAGGGTTCAGTTTGGTAACAGTAGTCTCCATTGTCTTAAATGTGTTAACACCATTCCACTTCTCCTGGCCCTTGAGCTGCACCTCAAGCAGATAATGAATCACTCTGCTGCCACCATCATACTCTGGCTTCTCCCAGGCCAGAGAGATGCTTGTTTTGGTCTGATCTGTAACAATCAAGTTCTTTGGGGTCTGGGGCACCTCTGAGACCTTAAGAGGGTCAACAGTTGTGGCAGGCAGGCCGACACCATGTCCGTTCTCAGCAAGGACTCGGAAGTAGTAACTGCAGCCCTCCTGGAGCGGCTCAATCTTCCACGAAAGCTGGTGACAATTTGTTGCAACTGCAGCATATGTCTTACGTGTACTTTCTCTCTTTTCAATAACATAATTCTTGATCTTGGACCCACCATCCAACAGAGGTGGCTCCCATTCCAGTGTGACTGACTGGTTTGTAATTTCTTTCACTTTCAAAGCAACAGGAGCACTAGGTGTGTCGAGAACACGGACAACAACAAATGCAGATTTGCTTCCGCTGGCGTTCTCTGCAGTGATGGTGTATTTTCCACTGTCATTTCTGCTCATCTTGTCGATGACAAGGGATGAGTAACTGCTGGTCACCTCGACCTGAGCCGTCTCCTTGAGTGCAGCTTCATCTTTGTCCCAAGTGATGGTAGGAGTGGGCCTTCCCTTGATGGGTATGAACAGTCTAAGGGAAGCTCCAGCTTTAATGGTCACAATCTTTCTCAGTTCTGCGTCAATGTCAAGGTCTGGCTCCTCCGCCCTGTCCTGTGCCACGACAGCTCCAGAGACATCAGCAGGCTCACCAACTCCAACTTTGTTAATAGCACAAACTCTAAACTTGTATGCCTGGTTTTCCTTCAGGTTTTCAACTTCATACTTTGTCTTCTTGATACCAGTGGCTGGTGTGCACATTGTCCATTGCTCGGCAGGGGCATCTGTGGCAGTGGCCTCAGCAGCAGGGGCCTCAGCAGGGGCCTCAGCAGGAGCCTCCACTGGCAATGCTGACTCGGTGGTGGTGCAGCACTCAACAATGTATCCCTCAATGGCACAGCCTCCATCACAGGCAGGCTTGCTCCATGACAGGAACACTGATGTTTTAGATGTGTCCGTCACCTTTGGATTGTGTGGTGGGCCGGGCCTGAAGATGGGATCGAGAGATCTGAAGTAAACAGTCGGGGAGCTTGGCTCTCCAGCACCTACAGCATTCTCAGCTGCAACTCTGAATTCATAACAATGGCCTTCCAAGAGTCCAGGGACCTTGAAAGTCAAGTCAGTGACTGTTTTCCTGTTGCATCTGGTCCATCTGACACCTTCCTTGTCATGTTTCTCAATGATGTATCCGGTGATAGGACTGCCTCCATCCTCAGAAGGAGCCTCCCAGGTCAGCATCATCGAATCTTTTCTAATATCTGAAACTTCCAAGCTCTTTGGTGTTCCAGGGGCTGCATATGGATCCTTGATTGTGACAGCATCAGACTCCAGTGGTGCACCAACCCCATACTGGTTGACAGCATGGACTCTGAAGATGTACTCGTTTCCTTCCAGCAGCTTAGTAATCTTCAAAAAGATGGTCTCCACATTTGAGTCGACAACAGTCCAGACTAGCCTGCTTGTCTCTCTCCTCTTCACAATGTAGTGAGAGATCTTACTGCCACCATCTTGCGCTGGAGGTTTCCATGAAAGGCAGCACCGATCTATGGTTATTCCTGTTATTACAAGAGGTCCCTGTGGTTCTCCAGGTTTATCTAGAACAACAACATTGACCTCTACTGCTTTTTCTCCTCCTGGATTCTTCAGCAGCAGAATGTATTGGCCTCCATCTGTAAGTTTGGCTTCCTTGAAAGATATATAAGCTTTGGTGGGTGTGTTCTTAATTTCTCTATGAATAGTGTTGCCCAGTTCATTCTCTCCCATCATCCATTGGATAGAGGGCAATGGTTTTCCATGAACATCCGCATCAATCTTGAAGTTGTCTCCAGCATTGACCACAATAGTCTTTGTGTACTCTGGGTCTATGCTAACGCGTGGGGGTTCAATCTCATCCTTGGCAGTGATGGGGCCAGTGCTGTAAGAGGGCATACTGAAAACACCAGCAGCATTTCTGGCAATAACACGGAACTCATACTGGCTGTCCTGCACAAGTCCAGTTGCAACGTATTCAGTCTCAATGACGTTGGTGAAGTTAGCCTTCAGCCAGCGACCTTCAGGAAGCTCCTTCTTTTCCACAATGTAGCCAGTGACCTTTGAACCACCATCATATTCAGGCTTATTCCAAACGATGGTAATGGAGTCCTGTCCGATCTTTGTCGCCTCTGGGGTGCCAGGGGGATCACAAGGATCTCTGGCAATACGTCCCTCAGACACTTTGCTCATTTTTCCTATTCCAACAATGTTTTCAGCATAAACTCTGTATTCATACTCCATACCTGGTTCCAGATCACTGGTCTTGAAGGTTTGGTCAGTAATCAGAGACTTGTTCAGTTTCACCCACATGATGCTGTTTCTCTCCTTGCGGTCGAGATGGTAGCCTAAGATTGCGCTTCCACCATCATTCACAGGTTCATTCCAGGCCACCACCATGCTGTCCTTGGTGCAGACTGCAATGTTTGGTGTTCCTGGGGGTCCTGGGAGCTTGTATGGGTATTGAGCCACAATACACTCTGAGAGAAGAACAGGGCCTTTTCCATATCTGTTTTCTGCTGTTATTCTAAACTGATACTCAGAGCCAGTCTTCAACCTGCCTGCCTTGATTTTGGTTCTTGCGAGATTTGGAGATACAACCATCCAAGCAGTTGTGGATGTGTCTCTCTTTTCCACAATGTAGTGTTTGATGGTGCAACCACCGTCATAGACTGGTCGGCTCCAGGCGATGGTTACACTTCCAGAAGTCACCTCCTCTACCTTAACGGGGCCGCCAGGCTGACCCGGTTTGTCGAGTACAACAATACCGATGTCTGCTGTTGCCTCTCCTGCTGTGTTCTTTAACGTGATGTGGTACTTTCCAATATCATCTCTAGTAGCTTCTTTTATGTTGAGCTTCAGCATTGTCTCAGTTCCGCTAACGTTGACTCTGGTAGTCCTCTTCAGAGGTTCACCATCTTTAACCCAGGAGACTTCTGCTTTGGGACGTGCAACTATTGGGACTTCTACTGTCAGGTGTTCTCCTGCCAACACACTGAATGTGTTGAACATCATTTTGATAGAAGGTGCAATCACAAGATCCTTTAAGATCACAGGCACACCGATTTGACGTGGGTCACTTGTTCCCTTCTCGTTTCTTGCTGCTACACGGAACATGTACTCTTCACCTTCATTGAGTAGCTTAATAGTAGCTTCTGTTTCCTGTACAATGCCAGACGGGTACCACTTATCCTCACCCTTGGGCTGGATCTCAATGACATAACAGCCAACTCTGCTGCCGCCATCGTGCACTGGCTTCTCCCAGGCCAGGGTGACAGTGGTCTTGGTGACATCCTTAAGAGTGATCTTGCCAGGTGGCTGTGGTTTCTCAGACACTTTAACTGATTCACCAGCCTCAATGGGAAGACCAATGCCATATTCATTCTCAGCTAGAACTCTGAAGTAATAGTTGCATCCTTCCAGAAGCTGGCCTACTGTGAAGGTGGTGCTATGGCAGTTAGAGTTAACTGTGGCATACGCTTTCCTTGTGGACTCACGTTTTTCAACAATATAGTTCTTAATCTTAACCCCTCCGTCATTCACTGGTAGCTCCCAGGTAAGAGTGACAGATTCATTTGTTACAGCAGTAATCTTCAGATTCTGTGGGGCACTTGGTGTGTCAAGCACACGGACCTGGACTGTAACTGTCTTGGAGCCAGACTCGTTTTCAACTGTAAGGTTGTACTTTCCGCTGTCAAATCTATTGACATTTTCAACAACAAGTGACGTGTATGATGTTGTGCTGTCAATGGTTGCCCTCTCCACACGCTCCCCATCTCCCTTGGTCCATGAAGCAGTAGGAGCTGGTCGGCCTCTGATGGGCACAAACAGTCTGAGTGAGCAGCAAGCTCTCAGACTGACAACCTTGCGGAGCTCAGCATCCAAATCAATCTCAGGTGGAAGGAGCCTGTCCTCTGCCTTGGCATTGCCAGGTACAGATGCTGCCTCTCCAAGGCCTTCACTGTTGATGGCAGAGATGTTAATCATGTACTCCTGGTTCTCCTTCAGGTTAATAATGGTGAATGAGGTGGCAAGGAGTCCTTCTTTGGGTGTCACAATTGTCCATTCTTCCTCTTCCTCTTTCTCAGATGGGATGCAGGTCTCCACAATGTAGCCAGTGAGGTCTGAGCCTCCGTCATACACAGGCTTGTTCCAGGCCACAGTGATCGAGGACTTGGATGTGTCCAAGATTCTGGGGTTGCATGGGGCCCCGGGTGCGTACAGCACATCAGTGGCCTTGTAGAAGGGACTGGAGGTACTTGGCGGGCTCAGTCCGGCAATGTTCTCAGCAATAACTCTGAATTCATACTCATGCCCAACAAGAAGGCCTGTTGCCTTGAACTGGAGATCTTTGACCTTCCTCTTGTTGCATTTGACCCAGCGGAGGCCTATCCTGTCTTTCCTTTCAATGCTGTAGTTGGTGATGGGAGTTCCACCATCACTCTTAGGCGCCTGCCACATAACAAACATTGAATCTTTAGTGATAGCCGTCACCTCAGGATTTTCTGGAGCCTCTGGAACCACATATGGGTTGTCTGCAATGGTGGGTTCTGAATCAAGACACTCGCCAATTCCATACTTGTTCACTGCCATAACTCTGAAGATGTATTCATTTCCTTTGAGCAGCTTGGTCACCTTGTACTGTGTAACTTGCAGGTCTGAAACCACATTGGTCCAAACGAGTCTGCTTGACTCGCGCTTCTGAATCACGTATCCGTCAATCTTGGCACCTCCATCATCTGCAGGTGGAGCCCAGGAGAGTATACAGTTGTCAGCGGTAACATCAGACACCTCCAGAGGTCCTCCAGGTGGTCCAGGTCTGTCAAGTACTTTAACCTTAAAGGTGTGCTTAGCAAATCCACCAACATTAGTGGCAGTCAAAACAAATTCTCCTCCATCCGCTCTGATAGAGTCCTTGTTGGTCAGAAGGGTTGTCAGTTCTGTGAATTTGACGTCCAGTTTCATCGTGTTCTCAACGTCCTTTCCATTCTTGGTCCAGACCATGGATGGGGTTGGTTGACCGGCAATGTCAGCATCAAGCTTGAAGGACTCTCCTGCTTTCAGCAGAATAGTATCTTTAAAGATGGCATCAACCATAATGCGTGGCTCAATGATGTCGTCTTTGCAGGTGATTGGGTCTGAGTGATCAGAGGGAACGCTCACTGCCCCGGCTGAGTTTCTGGCTATAACACGGAACTCATAGGAGGCATCCTGAGTCAGTCCGCTGACAGTGAAGGCTGTCTCTGTGATGTTGGTGAAGTTGGCTCTCATCCAGCGGCCAGCAGGCAGTTCCTTCTTCTCCACCGTGTAGCCGGTGATTTTGAAACCACCGTCGTACTCGGGCTTTGTCCACTGAATGGTGATGACGTTCTTATTGACAAAGATGGGCTCAGGCATACCTGGAGGGTCCACAGGGTCCAAGGCCAGGATGGCTTCTGAGGCCTTGCTTGGCTTACCAATTCCAGCCATGTTTTCAGCCATGACGCGGAACTCATAGGCAGCACCGTCTTCAAGCCCGATGGTTTTAAAGAGGTTTCCTTTGACAAGAGTCTTGCTGATCCTTTGCCATACGATGCTGCTTCTCTCTTTCCTCTCAACATGATAACCAATCACTTCATTTCCACCATCAACCACAGGCTCATTCCATCCAACGGTGATTGAGTCCTTGGTAAATGCAACAACACCTGGAGTACCTGGAGCACCAGGTACTTTGAATGGATAGGCAGCCACCACAGCATTTGAGGTGATGGGAGGTCCAACACCATATCTGTTCTTAGCCTTGACTCTGAACTGGTACTCTGATCCAGTGGTCAGGCGAATGGCTTTGAACACAGTGCGAATGATAGCAGAGGACAGCTCAGTCCAGGTTTGGGAAGTTGTGTCTCTGATTTCAACCACATAGTTGTTGATGGGAACACCTCCGTCATTCTCAGGAGTGTCCCATGCAAAGACACAATAGGTACGCGATATCTCCACAATGTTAATCGGTCCCTTGGGGGGCCCGGGTACATCGTGAACCTTGACAATGATGTTGTCTGTCACAGAGCCAACAATGTTCTTTCCTGTCATGGTGTACAGCCCGCTGTCAGCTCTGTTGCATTCACCAATGCTGAGAATGACAGTAGCAGCGGTAGTTTCCACGATGGTTCTCTGTGTAAGCTTCAGGGTTGCGCCATCCTTTTGCCAACTAATAGTTGGTCTAGGACGTCCCATAACTGGAATTTCAACCTTGATGTCGTCTCCTGCCTTGGCAATGATAGTTTTCTGACATACACCCCGCAGGTCAAACTCAGGCAGGGAGGTAGAGTCCTTGACCTGGATGGATTTGCTCTCATGTGGTGCACTTCTACCAGAGTGGTTGACAGCCATGACACGGAAGAAGTACTCCTCCAACTCATTAAGACTCTTCACTGTGAAGTCCATGGTCTTCACTGCTGTCACGTGTGCCCACTGATCAGTTCCCTTCTTCTTGGCTTCAAGGACATATCCTGTAACTCTGCTTCCACCGTCATGCTTGGGTTTGGTCCAAGCCAAGCTCACAGAGGTCTTGGTGATATCAGTAGGGATGATACTCTGTGGAGGCGTTGGTGCCTGTGATGCACGAATTGGATCAGCCGTCTCCACCGACTCACCGATGCCATACTCGTTCTCGGCAGACACTCTGAAGTAGTACTCACAGCCTTCACCCAGGTCACTGATGTTCACTGAGGTGGTTGGGCAATGTGTGATAGCTGTAGCAAAAGCCTTGCGTGTTGATTCTCTCTTTTCAATGATGTAGTTGGTGATTTTGGCTCCACCATCGATCAGAGGCATCTCCCATTGAAGAGTGATGTTGTCCTTTTCAATCTTGAGAGGTTTCAGGTTGAGTGGGGGTCCAGGTGAATCCAGGACTCTCACATTTATATCTGCAGTTTTATTTCCAGCAGAGTTTTCCAGGGTCAGCTCGTATTTACCGGCATCGACCCTTGAGCTCTCAGGGATGATCAGCATTGTGAAGGACTCGGTGCTGTCAATGACTGCCCGCAGGACAGGACCTCCCTCCTTAGTCCAGGCGACAGCGGGCGAAGGACGTCCCTTGATAGGCACAAAGAGGCGGATGGAGCAGCCAGCCCTGACGACCAGGGTTCTTCTCAGCTCCATATCCAGCTCCAAACCAGGTTCGGTTTCACGCTCTACGATCTCCATTAGCTCCAGAGTCTCAGCAGGCTCTCCGGCTCCTTTAGCGTTCACAGCGCTAATTCTGAAGTGGTACTTTGCACCTGTCTCCAGCCCGGGAACAACAAACTCTGTGATCCTCAGTGGAGACGAGGGGGTGTCTCTAACCCATTCTTCTGCCCCTTCCTTCCTGTGCTCAATCACATATCCAGCCACCTCCAGTCCTCCGTTGTCCAGGGGTTTGCCCCAGTTCAGAGTGGCAGTGGCATTGGTCGTGTCTGTGACTCTTGGATTGACTGGAGGTCCGGGCACATCTGCCAGGGATAAAGGAAGTGGTTAGTGTCTTTAAACAATTATGATGTGCCTTCAAAATAAAAGGCTTCAGCAATTTGAAATGTAAAGAAATGTGGGTAAAGGAGAACATGTGTATGCCCCTGAAACATCTTGTTGGGAACCCTTGTTTTACTTACAGGCAATAACTGTGGTTATGACAGGCATTGAGGGCTCACTGGGTTCTCCGTAGCCGGCTTTGTTCTCCGCCAGAACACGGAACTCATACTCCATGCCCTCAATGAGGCCGGTCAATTGGTAGCTCATCTCAACGATGGGCTTCTTGGACGCCCTGACCCATCTCATGCCCTTCTTCTCCTTCTTCTCCACACAGTACCCTAAAATATCACTTCCTCCATCCTCAGCCGGCCTCCTCCAGGTCACAGTGGCTGAATGTCCATCCACTTTGCCAACCTCCGGTTTAGAAGGTGGACCGGGAGGACCTGCTCGCAGAGAAGAGGAAATACATTCAGGAGTCTGAGAGTACATCAAGGTTTCTGAAATGCTTTCAATGTAAAAGAGGCTTCATGTTTTGATTAAATACAAGTTCATTTGCATACATTTCCTGTACATAAATGTGAGCGTTGAATAAAGCCAGGTTCAAAATGTTTTTAAAGAGGGGGATTTTGGATATCTTTATGAATCATAAGATAAGATAAGATATACTTATGGTACAAAACGATTTAAAAAAGAAATCACTCCAATAATCAAAAAATACAGGCATAACAAATGGCATGTTGTCCACGTGAACGTACCGAATCTATCGACCATCCTGACGGCCTCGGAGTGAGACGGCTCGCTGGCTCCGTACTGGTTCACGGCGGACACTCTGAAGAAGTACTCGTTGCCCTGGATGAGCTTGTTGGCCACGTAGTGACAGTCCAGGACCTTCTCTTCCAGGATGGTCCACAGCAGGCGGCTGGTCTCCCTCTTCTCCAGGGTGTAGTACTTGATGGCGGAGCCTCCGTCCGTGGTGGGGGCCGTCCAGGTGAGAGTGACCTTCTCAGAGGAAATGCCGCTGCACTCGATGGGCCCAGGAACTGCAGGAACATCCAGGACTTTGACCTTCACCGTCTCCTCCTTCACTCCGAAGGGGTTGCTGGCGGTGATGATGTAGTCTCCGGAGTCATTCCTACTGGCGTACTTCACGGACAGCGTAGAGGAAGAGGCGGTGGTCTCGATGTTAACCAGGTCCGAGGGTTTGAAATACTTTCCTCCCTTGGACCAGCAGGAGGTGGGCGCAGGTTTGCCTATAATGCTGGTGGCAGTGATCACGATGGTGTCTCCAGCCCGGACGGTGAGACCCTCCATCACATGAGAGTCAATGATGATGGTCGGGGCAGCTGTTGGACCATGAAGGATAAACTTAATTCATCATGCAGATTACATTACAGGGTATTTGGATTAAAGATATCTGTGTGGTAGTTTAAAAAAAAAATGCCCGATCATCTGGGAACCATATCGGCAAATACTCTTTCTCTGAGTTTGTTGTGAAAGCAGCTGATATAGAAGTCTAATCTATCAGGACTCAAGATCCTCTCTAACGCCTACTTTATAATGCAGTTTTCACCAAAAACAGAATGTTACACGAGCACTTTGAACACATGGTGGTAATCATTGACTTGGAGATGTTTCAATAGTGACTGATTCTAAAAGCACAAAAGGTGTTGGTTTCTAATATAAATCCTTCATGTTTATGGTATATCTATCTCACCGTATTCGTCGGCGCAGATGATGGTGTCTGTCTGCTCCGAGGGGGGGCTGAGGGCTCCGGCCGAGTTCTTGGCTCGGATCCTGAACTCGTACTTGCAGCCCTCCTGCAGGTCGGTGACGGTGTACGCCGGGTCCACCACGTTCACGGGGTTGGCCTTCACCCAGATCTTGGAGGGCAGGTCGCGGCGCTCCACGATGTAGCCGGTCAGCCGATGGCCGCCGTCAGACTGCGGCTCGGTCCACTGCAGGGTGACGGTGCTTCTGGTGATGCTGACAACATCGGGTCTGCCAGGAGCATCTGGGGAAACAGGGATTCAAAACATGAAGGCATTGCAGCATACGTCACAGAATCACTGATGGATCAGCTGTCCAACCCTTACCGATGGGGTCCAGGGCCACCTGGGGGTCGGTGGGGGCGCTGGGCCTCCCGATGCCGGCCAGGTTGACGGCCATGACTCTGAACTCGTACTCAAGTCCTTCAGTCAGGCCCATCACTTTGTGCTCCCTCATCATCAGGGCGCTGGGGCTCGCCCTCTTCCACAACATGCTGTTCCTCTCCTTGAATTCAACAAAGTAGCCTGGACGTACGGGCAAAATCACAATCAATACACATCATACAAACACCATAGTGTTTATATGACTATTTATTAAGTCAAGGAGGTAACACTGCTCTAAATGCTTTAGGATCAAAGATAGAAGACAGAACCACATGGATATTGGACAGGAATATAGAGGTGTGCGAGGAGGCTCACCTGTGATGGGGGACCCTCCGGTCTTCCTGGGGTCGTTCCAGGACAGGTAGGCGGAGTTATGGCGCATGCTTGAGATCTGAGGTGGAGGAGGAGCATCGGGAACATCTGCAGGAAAGAAGACAAGTTGTTTTGAAAACACTTAAACGATAAAGATATAATATGGATACATGGCCCTGAAGGTGGAGCACTTACTGAAGGGATGTTTGGCCACGATGGGGTCGGACTTGAGCCCCTCGCTGACACCGTACTTGTTTTCAGCGCTGACTCTGAAGATGTACTCGGTGCCCTCGTGCAGGCTGGTCACCCGCTGCACGTTGCTCTCAACGGCGGAGGACACCGTCACCCACATGTTGGTGACAAAGTCTCTCTTCTCCAGGATGTAGTTGGTGATCTCAGAGCCGCCGTCGTCCTTCGGAGCGACCCACTTCAGCGTGGCGGCGTCCGCGTTGACGTCCTTGAACTTCACGGGGCCAATCGGGATACCGGGTTTACCCACCACCCTGAGAAGAGACGTGGATTATATATTAATATTATATTAATATATTCTTACCATTGTTACTACACAGACGGTAATGATGTCCAGGAGTAGCATAGTGAGGGTGAGCAGGGATCAAGACTCCTCACCTCATTATGAACAGATTGAAATGAAATCTGGTTTGCTCTTCACATGAGAAATCAAACACCACTCTGTGCAGTAGATTAGGCAGCACATGGCCTCGCCTCTTCACAAATGAACTGGGACTATTATTCGTTTATGATCAATGAATCCTGATCCTGACTAGTTTCCGTGAAATCTGCTCCACCGATAGAGAAGAGTTTTGTATTATTAAAAGCTCATCCAACTGTTAAAGATGGTGGACTCTAGGGTCCTACCTGATGAGGCAAAGGACTCAGTGGTCCTACCTGATGAGGCAAAGGACTCAGTGGTCCTACCTGATGAGGCAAAGGACTCAGTGGTCCTACCTGATGAAGACGCTGGTCTTAGTGGTCCTACCTGATGAAGACGCTGGTCTTAGTGGTCCTACCTGATGAAGATGGTGCTCTCCTTGCTCCCAGCGCTGTTCCTCAGGTTGATGGTGTACTTGGAGGCGTCGCTGCGCTGGCAGTCCCTGATCAGGAGGGTGGTGTTGACGGCGGAGGACTCGGCGCAGACACGGCCGGTGTCCGTCAGGTTCTCCTCCTCGCCCTTCTTCCAGGAGACCTTAGGCGTGGGCTTGCCGATGATGGGGATCTTCAGGCGCACCGTGCTGCCCTCCTTGGCGATGTAGCACATGTTGGGCAACTCCCGCAGGTCGCAGGTGGGGAGGACTGCACGGCAGAGGACACAGCATTAACATCACTATAACTCATGTAATAACTACACCCTAAACTGTGATGGTGTCTTCTCTCAGCTGTACGGAGGAAACACTGACAACTCTTTATTTAGTTTGATTTGTTTTCATTAGCTTGTTGAGTGAAAATGAAAAAACTAAAATGTAATATTATATAAAATAAATAAAATAAATAAAATAAATAAAATAAATAAAATAAATAAAATAAATAAAATATTATTTATAAAACACATTTTATAAAATTAGAAAAATCCAATCATGATAAAACAGTAATGAAAGTCTTACTGATCTGGTCCTTGGCGACCACGCTGAGCTCCTTGACGGCGCTCTCCCCCGAGTCGTTGACGGCCTTCACCCTGTAGGTGTACTCGCGGCCCTCCACCAGGTCCTTGCCGCTGTACTGCATGTTCTTGGACCTCATGAGTTCCTTGTAGTCGTCTCCTTGGGACACCTCCAGCACGTAAGCGATGATGCGGCTGCCTCCGTCCGTCAGAGGCTTCTTCCAGCTCAGCGTGCACGAGTCCTTCGTCACCAGCAGTGTCTTGAAGTCCATGACGGGGCCAGGCTCCTCTGCAGGGGCCAAACAAACACTTTGTCAAACCCCTATCCACACACACACTATAATACCCCTGATGTGCAAAAACACTGCCTGTAAATAAACCCTCCAGAAGTCACGCTGTATTTACAGTCTGTCAACAGAACCTTTAAATGGTCACTTATGAAATCAATATACTGCTTCTTCGTTTTTAACCACGGTGACCTTATCGGCTGTTTGTGTTCTTCATAATTAATAATGTTCTTTGTTGCTTTTAAATATGAAAGTCTATTCTCTTGCACTATTCTTCTGCTGTTGCAATAAGTACATTTCCCCTGATCCTGGTTCTGATAAAGTGCTCCATCGGTTTGCTGCACATACTATATATCTGCAAACAAAGCCTACAAATACAAAATACAAAATCTGTGACCTATATTCATTTACAAATAAACACCCCCCCCCCCCATCCTGAGCAGACACTCACCTGAGGCTCTGACGGCGTCGGGGGTCTCGCAGCTCTCGCCCACCCCCAGCTCGTTGACGGCAGAGACCCTGAAGATGTAGCAGCGCCCGGCGTCCAGGTCCGGGACCTTGAGGGCCGTCTTGGCGCTGTCGCTGCTGACGATGGACCACGCCTTCCTCTCCGTCTCACGCTTCTCCACGATGTAGTGCGTCACCTCGTGGCCTCCGTCCAGCAGGGGGGGGTCCCAGTAGATGTTGGCGTTGTCCTTACATGAGTCCTTCACCGTCAGGTTGGTGGGGGGGCCGGGGGTGTCTGCAGCAAAGAAACACGGGTTAGCAACAGCTGCAATATACTCTACTGTAGGTACAAGTACAAGTACTGATACCACACTGTATTATACTCTACTGTAGGTACAAGTACAAGTACTGATACCACACTGTATTACACTCTACTGTAGGTACAAGTACAAGTACTGATACCACACTGTATTATACTCTACTGTAGGTACAAGTACAAGTACTGATACCACACTGTATTATACTCTACTGTAGGTACAAGTACAAGTACTGATACCACACTGTATTATACTCTACTGTAGGTACAAGTACAAGTACTGATACCACACTGTATTATACTCTACTGTAGGTACAAGTACAAGTACTGATACCACACTGTATTACACTCTACTGTAGGTACAAGTACAAGTACTGATACCACACTGTATTACACTCTACTGTAGGTACAAGTACAAGTACTGATACCACACTGTATTATACTCTACTACAGTTAAAGTACTGATACCACACTGTAAAGTTACTCTGTTACAAGTACTGATTCCATACTGAAAATACAAGTTACGGTACTAAAACTACACTTTAATATTCTTTACTACAAGTAAAAGTACCAATACCACACTGTTGCATACTCCACTGAATGTAAAAGTACTAATAATACTCTGTAGATATACTCTGTTACAGTAGAAGGCTTAAGCTCAAGTACTATAGTAGAATTCTTCCTCTAACCCGAAGTGGAGTACAGGTTGCAGGGAGAGGAAATAGTACTATCAGAGTAGAAGTACTTCAGGGTGACTCACCGAACACCTTGACCACCACGGTGTACATCTTGATGCCGGAGGTGCTCTCCAGGCTCAGGATGTACTTTCCGCCGTCGTAGCGGTTGACGTTCTCCACCTGCAGCAGGCTGTCGGTGGGTGAGGACTTCATCACCACGCCCTGCCGGTCCTTGATGTTGGTGTTCATCTTGGCCCAGACGCTGCGGGGGGGCGGGCTGCCCTTGATGAGGGCGTGGAGCCTCATGGTGGATCCGGCAGTAAGCACAAGACCCGCCTTCAGCTCCGCACTCAGCTCCGCCTCCGGGGGGACTGTAACAGAGAGGAGGGGTTATTCACTGTTACTGCACCAGAGAGGAGGGGCTGTTCACTGTTACTGCACCAGAGAGGAGGGGCTATTCACTGTTACTGCACCAGAGAGGAGGGGCTGTTCACTGTTACTGCACCAGAGAGGAGGGGCTATTCACTGTTACTGCACCAGAGAGGAGGGGCTGTTCACTGTTACTGCACCAGAGAGGAGGGGCTATTCACTGTTACTGCACCAGAGAGGAGGGGCTGTTCACTGTTACTGCACCAGAGAGGAGGGGCTATTCACTGTTACTGCACCAGAGAGGAGGGGCTATTCACTGTTACTGCATCAGAGAGGAGGGGCTGTTCACTGTTACTGCACCAGAGAGGAGGGGCTATTCACTGTTACTGCACCAGAGAGGAGGGGCTGTTCACTGTTACTGCACCAGAGAGGAGGGGTTATTCACTGTTACTGCACCAGAGAGGAGGGGCTGTTCACTGTTACTGCACCAGAGAGGAGGGGTTATTCACTGTTACTGCACCAGAGAGGAGGGGCTATTCACTGTTACTGCACCAGAGAGGAGGGGCTATTCACTGTTACTACACCAGAGAGGAGGGGTTATTCACTGTTACTGCACCAGAGAGGAGGGGTTATTCACTGTTACTGCACCAGAGAGGAGGGGCTATTCACTGTTACTGCACCAGAGAGGAGGGGTTATTCACTGTTACTGCACCAGAGAGGAGGGGTTATTCACTGTTACTGCACCAGAGAGGAGGGGCTGTTCACTGTTACTGCACCAGAGAGGAGGGGCTATTCACTGTTACTGCACCAGAGAGGAGGGGCTATTCACTGTTACTGCACCAGAGAGGAGGGGCTATTCACTGTTACTACACCAGAGAGGAGGGGCTATTCACTGTTACTGCACCAGAGAGGAGGGGCTATTCACTGTTACTGCACTAGAGAGGAGGGGCTATTCACTGTTACTGCACCAGAGAGGAGGGGTTATTCACTGTTACTACACCAGAGAGGAGGGGCTATTCACTGTTACTACACCAGAGAGGAGGGGCTATTCACTGTTACTACACCAGAGAGGAGGGGCTATTCACTGTTACTACACCAGAGAGGAGGGGCTATTCACTGTTACTGCACCAGAGAGGAGGGGCTATTCACTGTTACTACACCAGAGAGGAGGGGCTATTCACTGTTACTACACCAGAGAGGAGGGGCTATTCACTGTTACTACACCAGAGAGGAGGGGCTATTCACTGTTACTACACCAGAGAGGAGGGGCTATTCACTGTTACTACACCAGAGAGGAGGGGCTATTCACTGTTACTACACCAGAGAGGAGGGGTTGCAGAAAAACTGCTCTTTATAATTAAAATAATCCTTAGAAATAACAATAATGTAATTTGATGTTTTTTGTTAATTGATTGAGGTACTGCTGTTTTTCTGTCCTAAAAGGTCTGGACTAACAGGGTCATATCTCTGGTCTGGATGTGGTCCTGTGGTTCTGTGGTTCTGTGGTCCTGTGGACCTGTGGACCTGTGGACCTGTGGTTCTGTGGTTCTGTGGTTCTGTGGTCCTGTGGTCCTGTGGTCCTGTGGTTCAGGTCCTACCTGACAGACCGTAGCTTCTCAGTGCAGCTAGGTGCCTTCTCCTCAGCCATAGCTCCTCTTACCTGTGGGGTTCCCCAAGGCTCTATTCTGGGCCCCATCCTCTTTCTACGGTACATACTGCCCCTAGGTTCAATTCTCACTAAACATAATACTCCCTTCCACTGCTACGCCGACGATGTACAGATCTATCTGCCTCTCAAAGCAAATGTCAAACACTCACTACAGCAGCTGATGGACTGCTTAACAGAGATAAAATCCTGGCTGAGCAAAAACGTTCTCAACCTCAACGAGAGCAAGACTGAGGTCATCTTTTTTGGACCCCAACCTCGAGCCTCTCCGGTTGATATTCTGGGCTCTCTCAATAAAAACATCCTCCCCTCTGTCATGAACCTTGGAGTGACCTTCACTAGCACTTTTAAATTCGACAAGCAGGTCAGCACCGTAGTCAAATCCTGCTTTTTTAAATCCTGCTTTTTTTAAATAAGACTATTGGCCAAAACCAAGTCGTATTTATCTTTTAAAGACTTGGAAAGGGTTATCAACGCCTTTGTAACCTCGAGACTGGACTATTGTAACGCTCTGTATGTGGGTATGGACCAGGCCTCAATTAAACGCCTGCAGCTAGTCCAAAACGCAGCTGCACGTCTGCTGACTGGCCACAAAAAGCGTGACCACATCACCCCTATTCTGGCCTCACTGCACTGGCTTCCAGTTCGGTTCAGAATTGATTTTAAACTCCTTTTATTTGTTTTTAAAGCACTAAATGGGCTGGCTCTGGCCTATATAGCTGAACTCCTCCAGCGCTACACCCCAGCCAGAGCTTTAAGGTCTGCTGACCAGCTGCTGCTGGTAGTGCCCAAGACCAGGCTCAAAACCCGAGGGCACCGAGCCTTCTCAGCAGCTGGCCCGAGGCTCTGGAACACTCTGCCCCTCCATGTGAGGTCGGCCCAGACCCTAGGGGGTTTTAAATCTACACTAAAAACACACTTCTTCTCCCTGGCCTTCTAGTCAGAGCGGAGCACGACTCCTGACTTTTCCCTGTGTTTTTTATATATCTGTTGTAATTTATTGTCTTTTATTGTGATTGTAGTAATGTGTTTTTATTATTATTATTTATTATTATTTATTATTATTTATTATTATTTATTATTATTTATTATTATTTATCACTTTGGCTCGACCAAAAATCGCTTTTAAATGTGCTTTATAAATAAAACTTGATTTGATTTGTTTTGTGGTTCTGTGGTTCTGTGGACCTGTGGTTCTGTGGTTCTGTGGTCCTGTGGTCCTGTGTATGTGGTTCTGTGGTTCTGTGTATGTGGTTCTGTGGTTCTGTGTATGTGGTTATGTGGTTCTGTGGTTCTGTGTATGTGGTTCTGTGGTTCTGTGGTTATGTGTATGTGGTCCTGTGGTTCTGTGGTTCTGTGGTTCTGTGTATGTGGTTCTGTGGTTCTGTGGTTCTGTGGTCCTGTGGTCCTGTGGTCCTGTGGACCTGTGGTTCTGTAGTTCTGTGATTCTGTGGTCCTGTGGTTCTGTGGTTCTGTGGTTCTGTGTATGTGGTTCTGTGGTTCTGTGGACCTGTGGTTCTGTGGTTCTGTGTATGTGGTTCTGTGGTTCTGTGGTTCTGTGTATGTGGTTCTGTGGTTCTGTGGTTCTGTGTATGTGGTTCTGTGGTTCTGTGGTCCTGTGGTCCTGTGGTCCTGTGGACCTGTGGTTCTGTAGTTCTGTGGTCCTGTGGTCCTGTGGACCTGTGGTTCTGTGGTTCTGTGGTCCTGTGGTTCTGTGGTTCTGTGTTTCTGTGGTTCTGTGGTTCTGTGGTCCTGTGGTCCTGTGGACCTGTGGTTCTGTAGTTCTGTGGTCCTGTGGTTCTGTGGTCCTGTGGACCTGTGGTTCTGTGGTTCTGTGGTCCTGTGGTTCTGTGGTTCTGTGTATGTGGTTCTACCATCAACCAGCTGATTTATGTTAGAAATGTCTCTAAGATAAGAAGCACTTGTCATAAAAAGACAAAGCATTGCACATTAGAGAAATTCAAAGACTAGAAATAAACAATCCAAATATAAATCAAATAGCATGAAAATAAACATGTTGCAAATGTCCAATAAACAAATATAAAGCAGGATATGATATATCCATGAAGTGTGTGAGGAGTGCAATATGTCCCAGATGCTGAGGTACGTACTGATGATGTCCTTGGCCTCGTGTGTCCCGGGGACCTCCACCGGCTCTCCGAAGCCGACCTTGTTGACGGCGGTGACGCGGCACTGGTACTGAGCGCGGTGCTCCAGGTTCTGGATGGTGTAGGCGGTGTCATGCAGGTTCCTGGGCACGTTGCAGCGCACCCAGTCCTTGGCCTCGCCCTTCCTGCTCTCCACCAAGTACCCGAGCACGGGGCTTCCCCCGGTGCTGGAGGGCTCCGTCCACGAGAGGCTGATGGTGCTGTTGGTGGTGTTGGTCATGGTGGGGTTCACCACGGGGCCAGGGGGAGCTGCAGCACATCCACAGGTTAGTTTATACACGGAGCAACATGTGGTACAGCACTACGCCTTTAAATATATATACATATATACAGGCTTGGGGATTAACGGATGACATGTAACAAGATAACGTCATCAGGACGATAACAGAAGCTAACTGTATTCGATTACATTCAAACATGGAGGTAGACTGAATGATCTTTCTGGTTTATGTCTAGAATACTTCTTCTTCTTTAAAGCAGCAGGTGGAGAGCTGATTTATTAAACAGAAATACAATCTGCTTTTGAATGATGTATTTAGCTTTAACAGCATCTGTAAACTATCACTATTACTACATGTATTGATAAAAACACTAAGGTAAAAATCATCCTATTGTTATTTATTGTCTGGTGTTTTATTGGCACAGCATCTGACCTTGAGGCAATCCAAAGGTAACGGAGAGTAATCAGGTTACTCTATATATCCACATGTAACTGGTTATGTGTGTATGTATTTAAAGGACTCACTGATGGGGTTCTGTGCGGTGCTGGTGGCGGACGGCTCGCTGGGCTTGCCCTGCCCGGCCTCGTTGACGGCGCTGACCCTGAACTCGTACTCGGTGCCCTCGGTCAGGCCGGTGTAGTCGATGCTTCGCTCGGTCAGGATCTTCCTGCCCAGCTTGGTCCAGTTCAGGTCCTTGGCCTCCTTCTTCTCCAGCATGTAGCCCACGATGGGGGACTTCCCGTCGTCCGCAGGCTCCTTCCAGCTCACCGTCATGCGGTCGCAGGTCACGTTGGTGACCAAAGGCGCCTCGCAGGGGCCGGGAACATCTGGGGGGAAACCACAGGGTTTGGATCAGTAAAGAGGTCCATAATAAGAATGTGGAACCAGTTCTAGAGATGAAGAGGTCCATAATAAGAATGTGGAACCAGTTCTAGAGATGAAGAGGTCCATAATAAGAATGTGGAACCAGTTCTAGAGATGAAGAGGTCCATAATAAGAATGTGGAACCAGTTCTAGAGATGAAGAGGTCCATAATAAGAATGTGGAACCAGTTCTAGAGATGAAGAGGTCCATAATAAGAACGTGGAACCAGTTCTAGAGATGAAGAGGTCCATAATAAGAACGTGGAACCAGTTCTAGAGATGAAGAGGTCCATAATAAGAACGTGGAACCAGTTCTAGAGATGAAGAGGTCCATAATAAGAATGTGGAACCAGTTCTAGAGATGAAGAGGTCCATAATAAGAATGTGGAACCAGTTCTAGAGATGAAGAGGTCCATAATAAGAACGTGGAACCAGTTCTAGAGATGAAGAGGTCCATAATAAGAACGTGGAACCAGTTCTAGAGATGAAGAGGTCCATAATAAGAACGTGGAACCAGTTCTAGAGATGAAGAGGTCCATAATAAGAACGTGGAACCAGTTCTAGAGATGAAGAGGTCCATAATAAGAACGTGGAACCAGTTCTAGAGATGAAGAGGTCCATAATAAGAACGTGGAACCAGTTCTAGAGATGAAGAGGTCCATAATAAGAACGTGGAACCAGTTCTAGAGATGAAGAGGTCCATAATAAGAACGTGGAACCAGTTCTAGAGATGACACAATCCCAGTGAAACTACACCATTCTTCATTACTATATTTCTTATGATTTTTTATTGTTACTGTAGTTTTCTTAAAATAGTTTTCTATCTGCTTTTGAAATGTGTGTTTTACCTTTATGTACCACAACACCAAGTCAAATGACTCGTACGTGTCACCCTACCTGGAGATGAAGCTGTTTCTGATTCTGACACCAGTTCAACACGGTTCAAGCCCTCCTCTATTACTGTTGGAAGTTACAGACTACATCTCCCTGACGCTAACGCTGCTGAGTCCAACTCACTGTAGGGGTTCTTGGCGATGACGGGTCCAGTAACCAGAGAGTCTCCGACCCCCCAGGTGTTCTCGGCCCGGATCCTGAACTGGTACTCCCGGCCCTCGATGAGCTTCCCGACGTCGAGCTCCTTCTCGTCGGCATGGATTTTGGCGCAGACCTGAGCCCATTCGGCGCGGCTGGTCTCACGTTTATCCACGATGTAGTTGGTGATGATGGCGCCGCCGTCCTTCAGGGGGGGCTCCCAGGTTAGCTTGATGTTCAGGGCGAACACCTCCAGGTACTGGGCACTGGCAGGGGGGCCGGGCACGTCTGAGGGCAAACACAACGAGGACATATCAGCACACAGAGCTAAAACTAAAGGAAATACGAAACAGAAAAATATATTAGATAAGATAAGGTAAGATGGACCTTAATGAATTCCTGTGGGGAAATTCAGGAGTTTATATATACTGTATATACAGTATATACTGTATATACTGTGTATACTGTGTATACTGTATATACTGTATATACTGTATATACTGTATATACTGTGTTTACTGTATATACTGTATATACTGTGTATACTGTATATACAGTATATACTGTATACACAGAGCAGGGGTTGCCTAAACAAGCTCTCCGTATCATAAAGTATAATTGAACTGTAACTGATGCTGTTATTTCATGATGGTTGTAAGGGATGATCAGTGTTGTTTTCAGCTCACAATTACTTTATTTTAAAAACAGTTTGTATTATTATTTAAATTTTTATTCTATTTTGTGTAAATCCTGTTTTTAACTCTGACCCTGTTGCTGCTCTAAATGCCTGAATTTCCCCAAGGGGATAAATAAAGTTCCATTTGATCTTATCTTAAACTGAACTGTTGTTTGCATGAGATGAACCCCGTCCAGATGAACCCCGGTACTGACCCAGGACCACCACGGGGACCTCGGCGCTCTTGGAGCCGCTGGCGTTCTCAGCCACGATGCTGTAGGCTCCTGTGTGCTCCCTGCTGACGGAGGTCATGTCCAGCTGGAAGTGGTTCCTGAGTTGCGTGAGGACCAGGCCCTCACCGGACTTCAGGCTGTCGTCGCCTCTCTTCCAGGTGACTCGGGGCATGGGCTTCCCGAACACCTGGGCCTCCAGCGTGATGCTAGAGCCCGCCTTCACCTTCACGCCCTTCTCCATCTTGGCACTGAGCTCCACCCTCGGCGGCACTGAGGGCGGGGGAGAAGGATGAGTTAAACAGCTATTTAAAGTGGACCTATCATGCTATATTTGAATAATATATTGTAGGGCCATACCTATATAAAACATGTCTGTGAAGTTTTCTTTTCAAAATACCAAACAGATCATGCATTTTAGCCATGCCTCATTTCGCTCTATTTGCTCTTTTCCAGCCCTGTTTTTGCAAGGGCTGATTCTGTGAGAAGTCTTCTTCGCTGCTTGTGTGGCAGACTACAGCGCCACTTACAGGCCTGGCATATGTACTACAGCGTCTCCAGCGCTTTCGAGCGGCAATGGCCGTGGCCCAACCCCATCTACTTAACATATTAGTGATAACTCATGACTCATCAAAGTAAACCTACTTGACAAATGGTTCTGATTTAAATTAAAATGTTGGATCTGATTCTCGTTTTAAAACAGGTTCTGAATCCAAATCTAATTCTGGTTCTGGTTCAGGTTCTGGTTCTAATTCTGACATTGATTATAAAATGTTTATTTCAGAGATCCGTCTTATTCTTCCGTTTTTAAAATGTGGTCCTGATATCTAGTTCAGCATAGATCCGGCCCGTGTCAGCGCTCACCGCTCTCTGCGCAGACGAGCACCGGGTCGCTGGGCTCGGAGGTCTTGCTGACGTTAACGGTGGTCTTGGCGATGACCCTGAACTGGTACTGAAGGTCCCGCTCCAGGCCCGTCACCGTGTACTCCTCCCGCGGGCAGTTCTGGCTGCTGGTGTTGCAGCGCAGCCACATGTCTCCGGGCAGACGCAGCGTCTCCACGTAGTAACCGATGATCTTACTGCCGCCGTCGTTCTTTGGACGCGTCCAAACCAGAACCACAGAGTTCTTGGTGACGTCCAGAACCTCGGGTTTCCCCGGGGTGTCTGAGAAACAGAGAGGGAAGTCATTATAGTACAAATAATAATAACGATACTGTGAATAAGTCAGTGGACCATCTTTCTGTATCTCACAAAGCAAACGTGTAAGATAAGATAAGAAGTACTTGTTTGCGTCATAGCAGCATCAAAAGTCATTGCAAAATATAAAGCAGGATATTATATATACATAAGTATGTGAGGAATAGATGAGACAAGATGCTACGCACCGATAGGCGTCCTGGCCGTCACAAAGTCGGTCTTCTTGCTGGGTTTGCCCTGCCCGGCGCGGTTGATGGCCGACACCCTGAAGGTGTACTCCAGGCCCTCGATGAGGCCGGCACACGGGTACTCGTTGGAGCGCACCACGCAGTCGTTGGCCTTCACCCACAGCAGGCTGTTCCTCTCCTTGCGCTCGATGTAGTAACCGGTGATGGGGCTGCCGCCGTCGGTCTCCGGTTTGTCCCACGCCACGAACATGCAGTCCTTGTTGCACTTGTTGATGCGGCAGTCCAGCGGCTCCGAGGGAACATCTGGGGGGGAATTAAAAATGTTCATAAAACAAATCGGAGAAATCTGCAGCTCATCACGTACTCAGAGGCGGAGGAAGTACTCTATACTTCACATTCAGTCAGAACAAGTAAGTACTTAATGTCCCATTTCAGAATAATGATTAAAACACTTCAGAAGGTAACAGTTGAGGTCCATCTAATAACTATCAGTCCTAAAAAATACATCAAATATAGATATAGATATCAAACCGAAAAAGGACCTAAGTACTTTACTAAATAAATCACGACATGTACAACAGGTAAACTGACCGAAGGGGAACTTGGCCACCATCCTTTCGGACTGCATGGGGTCCGACATTCCGAAGCGGTTCTCCGCCCGGATGCGGAACGCGTAGTCCTTCCCAGGGATGAGCTTCCCGAGTCGGCAGCTGGTCTTCTGGCCTCCGGAAGAGGTGGCCGTCACCCAGTCTCCACGGCTCAGGTCGCACTTCTCCACCACGTAGTTAGTGATGTTGCTGCCGCCATCCTCCAGCGGCTTGTTCCAGGCCAGAGAGCAGGCGTCCGCGTCGATGTCGCTGATCACCACCGGGCCCTCGGGAGGACCGGGGATGTCTGCAACACAGAGACAAAGTTAAACACAGAGAATCTCCAATAAATCCCCTTCAGGAGAACCTGAATGCACCACCCTGCCTGTCCTTCCACTTCCCACACCATGTCCGGCACACTGACCTCTGATGATGATCTTCATGGACTCCACGACCCTGGCGGAGATGTTCTCAGCCACCAGGCTGTACTCGCCGCTGTCTGTCCTCGACACGTCTTTGATGATCAGAACGCACATGTTCCCGGACTTGTGCACGGCCAGACGGCTGGACGGCACCACGGCGTCTTCGCCACGCATCCACTTGCAGGTCGGGGAGGGTTTACCTGAGACCAGCGCCTCCACCCTGAGCTTAGCTCCGGCTCTGGCACTGACCGTCTCCGGCATCACGATCTTCGGCTCCACTGTGAGGGAGAATAATGCATGGTTAACCTCAGAAGGAAGGGGTTTATGGGGAGGGGGTTTATGGGAAGGGGGTTCGGACTCACGGATCTGCTCCTTGATCTCCACGGCCTCGCGGGTCTCGGTGAAGGAGCTCTGGCCCATTACGTTTTTGGCGGCGACTCTGAACTTGTACTTCTTGCTCTCCTTCAGGCCGCTGATACTGATGCTCAGACCCTTCACCGTGGTGTAGGCGCTCCACACCTCCTCCTCCGGCTCCTCATCCTCTTCCTCCTCCTCAGGGGGAGGTGGGGGAGGAGCCTCCTCACCCTCTGCAACCTGGTGGAGATCAACGGCTCTTTAGATGCACTCAACACCACCGAATGTGCTTCAACTACAAATATCTGTTAGATCATGTACAGTTTGTGTTTACTGCTAAACTCTAGGTGTTAGAAAGGAGACAGACCTCCACTGGTGCGGGGGGCTCGGGGGGAGGCTTCACTTCAATGTATTCAACCACGTAGCCGTCGATCTTGGCCCCGCCGTCCTTCGCCGGCTTCACCCAGCCAACCATGGCGCTGTTCTTGGTGATCTCCAGAACCTCGATCTTCTCGCAGGGATCGGGCTTACCTGAGGAAGAGGAGGTCTCAGAGTTAGTGCTTCAATCATTTCCAGTGAACTTATTGGGCTTTTTATGCCTTTGGTAAAAACTAAATAGTTGTCATCTTCATTTGATGATCTAGTTAATTTAGTTTAATTAATTTGTAATGAATATAAGCTTTAGTTCGATGAAGTGTGTGGGACTTGACATCCCTCTCTTCACCACCTGTGAACAAAGAGAAAGTAGAGAGGAGAGAGTGAGTATGTACTTACTGACGGGATCGGAGGCCACGTAGGAGGTGGGGCTCACTTTGTGGACCCCGGGTCCGTACTCATTGACGGCCGTGACTCTGAAGTAGTACTCGGAGCCGGGCACCAGGCCGCTGACTTTGAAGGGAACCTTGTCCTTCTCCACCTCGGCCTTCACCGTCGCCCACGTCTTGCGGTCGATCTCGCGTTTCTCCACCACGTAGTGCGTGATCTCGCTGCCTCCGTCCATCTCCGGAGGACTCCAGGACAGCTTGGCGGAGGTCTGCTTGATGTCGGTGGCCTCCAGGTTCATCACGGGGCCCGGGGTGTCTGACAGGACAAGAACATGGCGTTCAATTTCACGCTGTTTTATTCAATCCCATTTCAGGATAAGGATTCTACTAATCGGTCATTATTCCTTAACTGAAGTCTTATGTTAAGGTGACCTGCACTACACTACACTCACCCTGGACTTGATGTTAAGGTGACCTGCTGTACATGATTACAGTACACTCACCCAGGACTTGATGTTAAGGTGACCTGCTGTACATTATTACACTACACTCACCCAGGACTTGATGTTAAGCTGACCTGCTGTACATTATTACAGTACACTCACCCTGGACTTGATGTTAAGGTGACCTGCTGTACATTATTACACTACACTCACCCAGGACTTGATGTTAAGGTGACCTGCTGTACATTATTACACTACACTCACCCAGGACTTGATGTTAAGGTGACCTGCTGTACATTATTACACTACACTCACCCTGGACTTGATGTTAAGGTGACCTGCTGTACATGATTACACTACACTCACCCAGGACTTGATGTTAAGGTGACCTGCTGTACATTATTACACTACACTCACCCAGGACTTGATGTTAAGGTGACCTGCTGTACATTATTACAGTACACTCACCCAGGACTTGATGTTAAGGTGACCTGCTGTACATTATTACAGTTAATTGATTCATTAATTAATTGCAAATGTCCCCTCTGTGGGACTGATAAAGGTATTCTGATGAACTCACCCAGAACCTTGACGTTGACGAACAGGGCCTTCTCTCCCGCCGGGCTGCGCACCGACAGGCAGTATTTGCCCGAGTCGTTGCGTGTGCTGTCGGGGATGATGAGGAAGGTCATGGTGTCGATGATGTCCACCTTCCCTTTCCTCGCCACGTTGTCCAGGCCCATCCTCCTCCAGCTAACTGTAGGAGGGGGTCGGCCTCTGACGGTGGCGCACAGCCTGATGGGGCAGCCGGCTCGCACCGACAGGCCCTGCTTCAGGTTTGCGTCAAGATCTACTTCTGGAGCCTCTGTGGGGAGGAGCAGGCCACAAGTTACACTTTGTTCAGGGCTTTAAAACACTTTGGCTGAAAGAAAGCTTTATCATGTCATGAATCAATCTCAAAGAATTGGGAACTAGGAACTACACATTTGAAGAAAAAGAAATCTGGACAGTTTTTGATTTCTATTGTTACTCACACATTCATATTTATTTCTTTGCAAGGATGCTCATTTACCAACATGGAAAAGTAATTGAGTTTTAAATGTAACTTGTGTTAAGCTGTAGGGGCCCTAGTTCCTTTTGAGTGGGACTATTCGCTCCTCTAGTTCCGATACAGGAAATGTAAAACTAAAAAAGTCCTCACCTAGGATCTCCTTGGGGATCACAGGTGCCTCCAGTTCGCAGGGCAGGCTCATGCCGACCTGGTTCTGGGCCGAGACCCTGAACACGTACAAATTCTGTTGGTCCAGACTGGAGACGGTGAACTCGCACACCACCAGCTGAGCCGCCACGTTGCACCTCTTCCAGCCGTCGTCTCCTTTCTTGGCGCTTCCATGCAGCCTCAACTCCACAACGTATCCGATGATGGGAGCCCCACCGTCGGACACAGGCTTGGTCCAGCCCAGAGAGACGCTAGACTTTGTGCTGTCCACGACCTTCAGGTTGGTGGGAGGCGCTGGAGGCTCTGGAGGAACACAGGAGGATGTGTGAAGCTAAATGACTCCTTCTAAAGATCTATATGTTAATCGGCAGCTGTACACTATGGGCTGTGCATTATGTGGGAACCGAGTGTTATTCTCAACTTGCTTACAATGTAGAATAACATACATCATTATTTTGTTTAACTTGTTTTTCTGTGCTTCATCTCAACAAATAACAATGTCTGTTTTACATCTGGCGGATAAAGCAATTCTGATTCTGATATCAACATTAATATTGGTTACGTACCAACTGTGTCCCTGGCGGTGATGGCGAGTGAAGGCTTGCTTGCGCTGCCAATGCCAATTTCATTAACCGCCTTGACTCTGTACTGGTAGTCGTGGAGGGGCAGGAGTCCGGTCACGGTGTAACGTGTTGAAGGGATTGGTTCCTTGATGACAGGAGACCACCTCACGGCGTGCTCCTCCCTCTTCTCCAACAGATAACCGATGATGGACTTTCCGCCGTCCTTTTCGGGCTCAGACCACTCCACCGTCATCTCGTGCTTGCCGATCTTGGTGATCCCTGGTGCCTCCGGAGCGCCAGGTACACTGAACTGGGTGCCGGCCACGATGGCTTCACTCTCCTCCGCGGGCCCAGGACCCATCTTGTTCTCAGCACGGACTCTGAAGATATACTCGTTGCCCTCGGTGAGACGAGTGACTTTAGCTTTGTTGGTAATGATGGCGTTAGAGTGGACTGACCAGACTCCCCTCTTGGTTTCACATTTCTCAACAATGTAGTTGTAGATTTCGCAGCCGCCATCATCCTCTGGGACTTCCCAGGACAGATGGCACCGGTCAGTGGTGATACCAGACACCTTCAGATCCATGACGGGGCCGGGTCTATCCAAGACATTAACCTTAGCATGAGCAGAGGCGGTTCCTGCACTGTTGGAGGCAGTGACAAGATATGTACCACTGTCTGTGCGTCTGGCAGCGGTTATCAGCAGCTTTGAGAAGTCGGTTCCAGATTCCAGCGTATGCCTGAGGCCCTTCCTTATCTCGCGGGTTTCCTCATCTTTGTTCCATTTGATGACAGGCTGGGGCTTGCCCTTCACTATCGCCTCGATATGAATGGAGTCTCCTGCCTTGACCACGAGTGTTGCGTCCAGTTTGATCTTGACCTCAGGCTCCACAAGCTGTTCCTTTACCAGGACTTCAGGTGTGGTCACCCAGTTGCTCTCGCCCCCCTCGTTCTTCGTCTGTACTCTGAACTGGTACAACTGGTTTTCGATGCACCTGTCAGCCATGAAGTAGGTCTCCTTGATAGCGCCCTTGTGAAGCCTCTCCCACTCCTCAGCCTCCTTTGGCTTCTTCTCAACATGATAAGCAATGTTACGGCTACCACCGTCGTAGTCAGGCTTCTTCCACTTGAGGAAGCAGAAGTCCTTGCCGATCTCAGCGATATGGAAGTCAATTGGTTCACCGGGCTTCTCGATGGGATCCACTGCCAGCACAGGCTCTTTGGACTCAATGGCTGGACCAGCACCGATCTTGTTCTCTGCGCTGACACGGAAAAAGTACTCGCAGCCTTCAGTTAGAGGGGCCTTCATCTGGCGCTTGGTGCAGTCATTGGCGACTACAGTCCATGCTCTCTGGCTGGGCTGACGGCACTCAATAATGTACTGATTGATCTCTGTTCCTCCGTTGTCCTCTGGGTTTTCCCAGGACACCATGCAGGACTTCTTTGTGGCGTAGGCCACTCTTAGGTTCTGGCAAGGTCCTGGTGTGTCCAGGACATTGACGATAATGGTGGCCTGTGCTTGTCCACTGCTGTTCTTGGCGAGAATGGCATATTTACCATAGTCTGACCTGACGGCCTCGTTGATGACGAGTTCACACATTGGGTAGTTGTTGTTAATCTCGGTGCGTCTGTCCCGGGTCAGGGCTCTGGCATCTTTGGACCATGTGATCTCTGGGTCTGGTCGTCCCTTCACCCTGGTGATCAAACTTATGATCTGGCCTGCCCGGACTGTCAGAGAGTCACGGCAGGATGCGTCGACAACAACCTCAGGGGGCACCAAAATGTCCTTAGCTAAGACGGTCTCAGTCAGTTCCCTGGGTTCACTGTCTCCTACCTTGTTGGTGGCTTTGATGCGGATCCTGTACTCCATTCCTTCAATGAAGCCTTGCACTCTGAAGGCGCACATCTTGACAAGGTCCTTAGAGATTCTGTCCCACTGAGCGGACCCTGACTTCTGAACCTCTACCACATAGCCTAGAATAGGAGTGCCTCCGTCTCTGTTAGGCTTGGTCCAGCAGATGTCTGCATAGGACTTGCTCCAGTCCTTCAGTTTAAGATTGCCAGGGGGTCCAGGTTTAGTGATGGCACGAGTGGCCTTTACGGGATTGGAGTTCATAGAAGGCCCGCTGATACCGGCAACATTCTCTGCAAACACTCTGAACTCGTAGCTGTTGCCTTCAAACAGGCCTGAGACTCTGTATCTGAGGTCCAGCACAGGAGTCTTGTTGACACGGATCCACTTTCCTGTCATTTCTCTGCGTTCAATCACATATCCACTGATGGGGCTGCCTCCATCGTAGTCCGGCAGGGTCCACTCCACTGTCACAGCGTTCTCTGTGATATCAGAGCACTCTGGCGGGCCTGGAGGACCGGGAGGGTTGAACATGTGCTTGGCAATAGTGGGAGGACTCTCGAGCCCTGCACCAAGGCCAATCTTGTTCTCTGCTCGGACGCGTACGATGTACTCACGACCCTTCTCCAACCGGGACACCTTAGCCTTGGTGCTGGTGCCGCCGGAGCTAACCACGGACCAGGGCTCCCACGGCTTCTTCACATCCTTCTTTTCCACCACGTAGTTTATGATGGGCGTGCCACCATCATCCTTGGGTGCCCTCCACTGGATCATCATGTAATCCGGGGTGACTTCCAAGATGTTGATGGGTGAGATGGGTGGACCGGGGAGATCCAGCACAGTGACGTGCAGAGCGACGGTCTTGCTTCCTGAGGGATTGGCCACGGTGAGAAGGTACTCTCCGGTGTCTCCTCTCTGGGTCTGTGGGATGCTGAGGATGGTGGAGCATCCAACAGTCTCAATGTTGAAGCGGCCTTCAGATACCACTTCCTTGCCATCGCACATCCATTTGGCCGTGGGAGTGGGGATACCGGTCATCCTAGCCGGCAGGGCAATAGGAGTGCCAGCTTTGACCACAAGACCCTCGATGAGCTTCACATCAACTTCAATAGTTGGTGGCACTGAAAGAGAAACAGAACCATGTTAGCGTGTTATCAGGCCTGTAAATGAAGACTTCCTCTGTTAGTTGTGGTCTCTTTGGTTTCAGTCGACTACGATTTCTTGAGTCAAATATGCTTTAGTTTTTTCATGCTGAATGACATTTCTGGTTTAGACAATATTTAAAGTGGACTTTTAGCATTATTCTTTGTGGATCATCCATTAGTTGTAAAATTGGTTTGGAGTGTTAGTCAATAAATACTCTCTAAAGTTAAGTTATTTTCGTCTTCAGATAAATATTTGCAACAATGTCTTGGACAAGTCAGTGAAATCAGTTGTTTTGCGGTTCCAAAAAGTGTCATTTTGTTTTATGGCTAACCTCATTCATTGTTATTGTATTTTTATTCCTACAATTTCTGTTGCAAATGAAAGAATAAAAGCTGTTTCTTACATGTCTTTTCCTGGCAGGTGATGGGGACGGTGGTGTCGGGCCGGCTCACGCCGATGGCGTTCTGGGACTTGACCCTGAAGCGGTAGGTCTTGCCCTCCATCAGGTTGGTGACGTGGGCGTGGTTGTCGCTGACGGTCTTGTAGGGGACCCAGTCGGTCTGGCCGTCCTCCTGGTGCTCCACGATGAAGCCGGTGATCTCGCTGCCCCCGGTACGTTCGGGCCACTCCCAGGCCAGCCACACCTCAGTCTTATCTGCATCAGTGTGGTGCAGGTTCTTGGGGGGGCCGGGGGGGTCTGGAAGAGAGGAAAGAAGAAGTTAGTGGTGATTATTGGGAGTTCTACCATATATCGGAGGCTGTGGCTCAGTGGGTTAGTGCGCTGATCTTCGAATCAGAGGATAGCAAGTTCGAATACCACAGCAGTCAGCATGTCGTTGTGTTCCTGAGACACTTCACCCCAAAGTGCTCCTGTGGGGATTGTCCACAGTACTGAGTATGTTAGTCGCTTTGGATAAAAGCGTCTAACAAGTGACATGTCATGTGATGTAATGTCCTTTCTGTTTTATGATTGTGTTAGCTGATTCTAAAAATGTTTTAGTGAACTCACAGAGTGGGTCTAGGGCCTTGATGGGGGTCCGGGTCATCACGTAGGCGCTTTTGCCAAACTGGTTCTCAGCAGCCACCCTGAACAGGTACTGGATTCCCTCCATCAGGTACAGCGCCATCAGACTGGGCTTCTTATTGGATGCAGAGACGGGGACCCACTGGTCGGACGCCACGTCCTTCTTCTCCACCACGTAGTGCGAGATGACAGCGCCACCGTTGTCCTCGGGGGCCTTCCATGTCAGGTAGGCGGACTCGCTGGTGATCTCGGAGATCACCAGGTCTCTAGGAGGGGAAGGCTTGTCTGGAGGAAACAAGGTAGGTAGAGGTAGAATCAAATGTGCTTCACAAGTAATGAAATACCTGAGAGCTGCTGAGCTAGCTGCTAACATGATGACTAACCAAAAGTTAGCCGCTAAATGCAAATATGCTATCTAGCCTGAAATTAACTGCTAACATGCCAACTACCTTGAACTAAGCTGCTTACATGCAAACTAGCCTGAAGATATATGCTAACTGCTAACATGGAAACTAGCCTAAAGTTTCTTTCCACATCTGGTGGGCATTTTACTTACTCAGAACAAGCACGACCACGGTGATGGACTTCTTGCCGACAGCGTTCTCCGCGGTGAGGGTGTAGTTGCCGGAGTCGGCGCGGGTGCTCTTGGGGATGAAGACCTTGCTGCCGCTGGCAGTGACGGCCACGGTGATGTGAGCGGGGACGTCTCCGTCATCCTTCTTCCAGCTGACGGTGGGCGTGGGCACTCCCTTGATGGTGGCGCTCAGCGTGATGTCGGATCCCAGCATGGCGAGGTGGTCCCGCGCCATGTTGGCGTCCAGCAGCAGCTCAGGTTCCTCTGTGGACAATAAAAACACAGAATTTAACATTTAAAGAAAGTTTTTAATACATTTTAAAAGGAAGATTTATCCATTTGTACATGAACAGTTTTATTTTGCTAACCAGCTGATCAATAGAAAACACTTATGATGCTTTCGAGAAAAAATCTATCTGTTCTATCATTTAATTATATTCTATTTCAAAATGTTGAATTTAAAGGTGGGGTAGGTACGTTTGAGAAACCGGCTCGAGATACACTTGTTATTATATTCCATGGAATGCTCTTAACATCCCGATAGCAATGAATATCTGAAGTGCTTTGACAAAAGATCCATAAACAAATATCATCTGTGGAAGCCGTAGTACTGTAAAAAACACGACCAATCATCTGAGCCGGTCCGGCCTACCTGCCTGTCAGCCTTATCTCATGCCCTCATTGGTCATGTGCGCGTTCGTGTGTGTTGGAGGAGGGGCTCTGTAAGGAAGTCTGAAGGAAGGGGCAGATTTTTTCGGGTTGTGTATTTTCAAATCCTAGCGCACTCGAGCTGGTTTCTCCAAAATGACATACCCCACCTTTAAATAATATTATAGTTACAAATTTGAAACTAGATTTTTTTCTGAAACTGAGGCACATACATTTAGCAGCTAGCTACATTTGTGTGCATCCTGTCCATCAGTTATCATAATTTCATGACGTACTGAGACAACATAATATGTATTTTTAACAAATGAAGCAAATGACAAATAATATAATGTTATTGACCAGTATGTTTTGGTATCATCTATCTATTCGAAATGAATCTGAAACGTGTCAACCAGAGAGGCGTACCCATCCTGTCGTGCACTTTGACGCTGGTCTTAACAAAGGCGGGGTCAGATTTGCCGGCGGCGTTGACTGTGAATATCCTGAAGTTGTACTCTTTTCCATCCTCCAGGCCCGTCACCACGTAGTGAAGGTCGGGGCACTGCTCCGGGGTCTCGTTCGCCGGAAGCCACTCCACGGCGCCGGGATTCTGGTACTCCACCAGGTAGCCGAAGATACGACCCTTCCCGTCGTGGCGAGGCATCTTCCACCTCAGGCTGACCGAGTCCTTGGTCTTGTCGTAGGACTCGGGGGTCACGGGGGGGCTGGGGCACACTGCAGGGGGAAACATAGGAACAAGAATCAACAACGTGTTTAGTGTCAAAGGTCTTTTATGGAGGAGTAAGTGAAGTGTAAGTACAGAGCTGTAAACATTTAGCAAGACAATTCATGCTGCTGCTAATGAAGATAAAGAGCTAAGTCATCAATTTAAATCATTTTAAGATATTTATTTTTTTAAGATATGTATTATTTAACATCGGAAAAGAGTAGCTAAAAACAATAAAAAACGATAAATAAATGTCTTAAAGGTCCCATGTCATGCTTTTCTGGTTATTACCCGTCCCCTTGTGTTATGAAGGTTTTTCTGCATGTGAACGGTGTGCAGAGTCACAAACCCTCAAAGTACACCCTGTAGCGAGTAAAACTCTAACACAGAGAAGACCTCCCTAAAACGCCTCGTTGGAGATTCTCATGTTCTTCCTGAGCATCGTGACGTCTGGATACCCAGTAGCCACGCCCAGAGCTATGACGCGATACGGTCATGCCGTACCCGGAACCAAATGGACCAATCCGTGGAGCCGTTACGTTACGTCCGCGGAGCCGTTACGTTAAGGCTCTGTACTCCACTACCACCCACCACCCCCGCCCCCCCCCGTTGACATTCGTGAAGCTCTGTACTCCACTACCCCCCGCCCCACCCCCACCCCCGTTGACATTCGTGATACAGAGGGCTTCATGGGAACTTTGAGGGGAGCCAGAAGTTGGAGTACCAAACACTGACTCCAGGTGCTCATCTGAGTACCTCACTGAGAAAGTTGTGTGCACCCCTGACAATATAAATGTATTCTAGTATACCTCAACAATGGAATTATGATCAGTGGAAATGGCCATGACATGGGACCTTTAATACAATGCTTATATTTAGCATGGAGATAAATTAGATAATACTAAATACTAATAACTAATGCTAAATAACAATACTACAAAATGCTAAATGCGATGCTAATATTTTATCCAGACATAACAATGATAATAATAATAACTAATTAATAATTCTCTATAAAAATGTGTCATTCAATTCAATTCTAATATAATATATCTATATATCTAACACCAAATATAAATAAAATGCTTATATTTTGCATTGTCTTACGAAACCAAATGTAATCATGCAGGAGGAGTTTTTTGTAATTATACAAGAAGAATGACGTAGGATGTAATAGATAAAACATCTGTAATAATAATAAATATTTACTAAAAATAAATCGAAATATTAGAGTGCAGCTCTTACCGATGGGGTCCTTGGCGAGGATGGGTTTGGAGGGGACGCTGGGGTCCCCGGTGCCCAGCTCGTTTTCGGCCATCACCCTGAACTCGTACTCGCAGCCCTCCACCAGGTCCTGCACGCGGTACTGGGTGGCGGGGTACAGCGGCTCCCTGGTGACCCGGGACCATCTCTTGGCGGCAGGCTCCTTCTTCTCCAGGATGTAGTTGGTGATGGGCTTCCCTCCGTCGCGGGGCCGGGTCCACAGCACCAGGGCGTTGGTGGCGTACACCTCCCTGACCGTGGGCATCTCGGGGGCCTCAGGGACCCCTGCAGGGAGCACACAGGGTTATCAGGTGTATCCAAGTACTTTTACTCCAGTACTGATAGTATAATAATAACACATGGGATTTTTCTAATGCGCCAAGACGCTTAACATCAAATCAGAACAGAAACAATTCAAAGATAAAGTATGAGTTGGATCTTTCAGTGTAACAGGCGTACTATTCCCTTACAGTTACTTACATTACATTATTACTCGTATTATTTGCTACAATACATTTTCAAATAAAGATCAATATACTATAACTAGCTATAGGTAACTAGTAGTTGTAACAGATTATATATTGAAGGTACCCCTCCCAACCCTGGTCTTAACGTACTGAACAGATCTTTGGCTCTCATCTCCTCGGACTCCAGCGGGTCGCTGATGCCGTACATGTTCTCCGCAGAGATCCTCATGATGTACTCACGGCCCTCCGTCAGCTTCGGGATCTGAGAGAAAACACCCACCACAGAGAAAAGTTGTTAGAAACAGACCCCCACTAGGGATAAAACATGCTCAGGAGTCTGGTGGACAGGAGTCTGGCTGGGGTTTGGTGGACAGGAGTCAGGCTGGGGTTTGGTGGACAGGAGTCAGGCTGGGGTTTGGTGGACAGGAGTCTGGCTGGGGTTTGGTGGACAGGAGTCTGGCTGGGGTTTGGTGGACAGGAGTCTGGCTGGGGTTTGGTGGACAGGAGTCTGGCTGGGGTTTGGTGGACAGGAGTCTGGTGGACAGGAGTCTGGTGGACAGGAGTCTGGTGTAGTCTGGTGGACAGGAGTCTGGTGGACAGGAGTCTGGTGTAGTCTGGTGGACAGGAGTCTGGTGGACAGGAGTCTGGTGGACAGGAGTCTGGTGGACAGGAGTCTGGTGTAGTCTGGTGGACAGGAGTCTGGTGGACAGGAGTCTGGTGTAGTCTGGTGGACAGGAGTCTGGTGGACAGGAGTCTGGTGGACAGGAGTCTGGCTGGGGTTTGGTGGACAGGAGTCTGGTGGACAGGAGTCTGGTGTAGTCTGGTGGACAGGAGTCTGGTGGACAGGAGTCTGGTGGACAGGAGTCTGGCTGGGGTTTGGTGGACAGGAGTCTGGTGGACAGGAGTCTGGCTGGGGTTTGGTGGACAGGAGTCTGGTGGACAGGAGTCTGGCTGGGGTTTGGTGGACAGGAGTCTGGTGGACAGGAGTCTGGCTGGGGTTTGGTGGACAGGAGTCTGGTGGACAGGAGCCTGGCTGGGGTTTGGTGGACAGGAGTCTGGTGGACAGGAGTCTGGTGGACAGGAGTCTGGTGTAGTCTGGTGGACAGGAGTCTGGATGGGGTTTTGCTCACCTTGCAGAAGGTCTTGGTGTTGGCGGAGGTGACGGTGGTCCAGGCCTCGCGGTTGGTGTCTCTCTGCTCGATTATGTAGTTGGAGACGTCTACGCCGCCGCTGTCCAGAGGAGGTTTCCAGGAGATCACCATGAACTCCCTGTGCACCTCCTCAAACACCACGGGGCCGACAGGGGGGGTTGGGCGGTCTGCAGGGAGGAGACCATGTGATCAACCGATACCGCGATAAATATCTACCCCTTCTTTCTATCATCCATATCCTATTCTGTTACTGCCTCTTTGGACGTATTCATATGGTGTTTGGCTGAGGTCACTTCTGTGTTTTGTAGGAAAATATGTTTATATTTCTTAGTTTACAATATCTAATCTAATATATAATCTGATCAGTTTCTGATATTATTTTCAAAGCGATACTTTGCTGCTTGACCTGATTGAACCAAAAATAATTGTATTTTTCATTTTTATTAGGATTCAAATGTATTTTAATCTAAAATTATTAATCATTTTTCATTTTCACAGTTTAATCTAAATTCAAACAAATTGTATATATTTAAAAAAAATATATATATTTTTTACATCTTTTTCTATTTTTCCTCTTACCATTTTTCCATTTTAATCCACTGATTATTTAATATTATATTTATCCTTTTATCTTATATTGTAGTTTCTTGCTTTTAAGTTTTCTTCAACCATTTTTATATCAAAAATCAAATTCTTTGCATCTGAAAACCTACTAATAGTACTAAAACGGGTGGTGTCCCGCAGGGGTCTATGCATGGACCTTTTCTTTTTCTGTCTAATTCATGGATTCAGCTGCTGCACTTCATCTTTATTAATACGATGTTACGCCGGCTGGTATCAGCATCTGTACGTACCGACCACGGTGATGTTGCAGACCCCTTTCCTGGAGCCGGTGCTGTTCTCCACCACCACCACGTATCTGCCGCTGTGTCTGCGCTCCGCCTTCATCAGGCCCAGAGACATGGTGGTCAGCGTGTTCTTGAACATCACATGTTTGTCGGCCTTCAGCTCCTCGTCCTCGTGGTACCACAGGATGGACGGGAACGGTTTCCCGGTGTAGCGGCCCTGCAGCAGGCAGCTCTCGCCCACACGGATCACGATCGCATCGCGGAAGTCCAGCTCGATGGTGGGCGGCTCTGTGAGACAGGGAGACTGATTGTGAGCTGATATTGAAAGTACCAGTGCTACTAGTTTATAACAACTGCACGGCTCTTTCCTTCCAAAGGAGATATATCATCGAGTTGTTGTTTACATATTTTTATTCAGAGTTTTTCTTTTCTACTTTTGTATTTCTATGATTTTCTCTGACCGTGTTTATGTTACTATATTTTTTTACGTTATTATAGTTTTCTATCTGTGTTTTTAATTTTTGTTTTACTTTTATGTATGCACCACAACACCAAGTCAAATTCCTCGTAAGTGTCAAACTACCTGGTAATAAACATGGTTCTGGTTCTGGTTCTGATTCTGATTCTGGTTCTGATTCTGGTTCTGATTCTGGTTCTGATTCTGATTTTGGTTCTGATTCTGATTCTGTTTCTGGTTCTGGTTCTGATTCTGTTTCTGTTTCTGGTTCTGATTCTGATTTTGGTTCTGATTCTGATTCTGTTTCTGGTTCTGATTCTGGTTCTGATTCTGATTTTGGTTCTGATTCTGATTCTGTTTCTGGTTCTGGTTCTGATTCTGTTTCTGTTTCTGGTTCTGATTCTGATTCTGGTTCTGATTCTGATTTTGGTTCTGATTCTGATTCTGGTTCTGATTCTGTTTCTGGTTCTGGTTCTGGTTCTGATTCTGATTCTGGTTCTGATTCTGGTTCTGATTCTGATTCTGATTTTGGTTCTGATTCTGATTCTGTTTCTGGTTCTGTTTCTGGTTCTGATTCTGATTCTGGTTCTGATTCTGATTTTGGTTGTGATTCTGATTCTGTTTCTGGTTCTGGTTCTGATTCTGTTTCTGTTTCTGGTTCTGATTCTGATTCTGGTTCTGATTCTGATTTTGGTTCTGATTCTGATTCTGGTTCTGATTCTGATTCTGGTTCTGATTCTGGTTCTGATTCTGGTTCTGGTTCTGATTCTGATTTTGGTTCTGATTCTGATTCTGTTTCTGGTTCTGGTTCTGATTCTGTTTCTGGTTCTGATTCTGGTTCTGATTCTGATTTTGGTTCTGATTCTGATTCTGTTTCTGGTTCTGGTTCTGATTCTGTTTCTGTTTCTGGTTCTGATTCTGGTTCTGATTCTGATTTTGGTTCTGATTCTGATTCTGGTTCTGATTTTGGTTCTGGTTCTGATGAGATATGCATGGAAATACCCCTGAGATGACCTGCTGATTTGAATCTCCTGAAACTCACCAAGCTCGTCCTTGCAGGTGATGGGTTTGGTGCTGAAGGACGGCTTGCTGGGCCCGACCTCGTTGACGGCGATGACCCTGAACTCGAAGGTGTCGCCCTCCCGCAGACCGTCGAACGTGAACTTCCTCTCCATCAGAGCGTCTTTGGTCAGACGGCTGAACTTGTCTTTGCCGATCATGCGCGCCTCCAGCATGTACATGATGATCTCCGAGCCGCCGTCGAACTTCGGGGCTTTCCAGGTGATGCTGATCAGGTCCTTGGTGACCTTGGTGACCTCCAGCTCCTCAGGGCGGTCCGGCACACCTGGGGGGGGACAGGTACACTTTATATCTGCAGATCAAGAACTCCTTAAGAAGGTTTTTAACTGTCTGGATAATACATTACATGTCACTTAGACTCTTTTACCCAAAGCAACTTACATACATTCAGTACTTTGGGAAATCCGCTCAGGAGGAATTTGGGTTGGGGGTGAAGTGTCTTGCTCAGGGACATATTTATAGATACAAAGTTGGACTTCTGACTTCATAATGTTTCCTTTTTTACAAAAACTTCAAAATTATGATTTTTTTCTTTTGTTGACATCCAAATTTATCTTGAAAATAGTTTTTAGACTTTCAGTTTAAATGTGTTCTACAATCTCAGACACACAGGATCTGCAGATGGGAACTAGCTATGGGATTATTTAAATTATATTATATTTGACTTGATTATAGGACTGACTGTTTCTAATTTATCAATGAAATCCTGACTTCTCTAAATGCCCCTCCTCTCATGGTTCAGACTTCCTGATTGTAGATGGACTCACTCATGGGTTCTTTGACGAGGATCTCGGCGGCGGTGCACATGAAGGGTCCGAGCCCAATGGCGTTCTCGGCGGCGACTCTGAAGAAGTAGGACTTGCCGGTGGTGAGGCCCTGAGCCACGGCGTTCTGCCGGCTGGCGGTGAAGGACACAGCGGTCCAGGCCTTACGCTCGGCCTCACGCTTCTCCACGATGTAGTTGCTGATGGGCGAGCCTCCGTCGTTCTCCGGGAAGAACCAGCTGAGTTTACAGGACTCGCTGCTCAGGTTCTCCGCACTGAAGGGGATTCCCACAGGCCCGGGGACGTCTGAGGGGGAAACGGAGGGTTATTAGGCATTTCTGTGTAGGTCCCTGAAGGCAGCTAATGGTAGGCTATAAAGGAGCTACAGCACGGTCACATGACTTCACAACACCACCGCTAAGCTAAAGGCGGCTAATGTTGGGCTATAAAGGAACTACAGCACGGTCACATGACTTCACGTCACCACCGCTAAGCTAAAGGCGGCTAATGTTGGGCTATAAAGGAACTACAGCACGGTCACATGACTTCACGTCACCACCGCTAAGCTAAAGGCGGCTAATGTTGGGCTACAAAGGAACTACAGTACGGTCACATGACTTCACGTCACCACCGCTAAGCTAAAGGCGGCTAATGTTGGGCTACAAAGGAACTACAGCACGGTCACATGACTTCACGTCACCACCGCTAAGCTAAAGGTGGCTAATGTTGGGCTACAAAGGAACTACAGCACGGTCACATGACTTCACGTCACCACCGCTAAGCTAAAGGCGGCTAATGTTGGGCTACAAAGGAACTACAGCACGGTCACATGACTTCACGTCACCACCGCTAAGCTAAAGGTGGCTAATGTTGAGCTATAAAGGAACTACAGCACGGTCACATGACTTCACGTCACCATCGCTAAGCTAAAGGTGACTAATGTTGAGCTATAAAGGAACTACAGCACGGTCACATGACTTCACGTCACCACCGCTAAGCTAAAGGAGGCTAATGTTGGGCTATAAAGGAACTACAGCACGGTCACGTGACTTCACGTCACCACCGCTAAGCTAAAGGTGGCTAATGTTGGGCTATAAAGGAACTACAGCACGGTCACATGACTTCACGTCACCACCGCTAAGCTAAAGGTGGCTAATGTTGGGCTATAAAGGAACTACAGCACGGTCACATGACTTCACGTCACCACCGCTAAGCTAAAGGTGGCTAATGTTGGGCTATAAAGAAACTACTGCACGGTCACATGACTTCACGTCACCACCGCTAAGCTAAAGGGGGCTAATGTTGGGCTATAAAAGAACTACAGCACGGTCACATGACTTCACGTCACCACCGCTAAGCTAAAGGTGACTAATGTTGGGCTATAAAGGAACTACAGCACGGTCACATGACTTCACGTCACCACCGCTAAGCTAAAGGAGGCTAATGTTGGGCTATAAAGGAACTACAGCACGGTCACATGACTTCACGTCACCACCGCTAAGCTAAAGGAGGCTAATGTTGGGCTATAAAGGAACTACAAGCACGGTCACATGACTTCACGTCACCACCGCTAAGCTAAAGGAGGCTAATGTTGGGCTATAAAGGAACTACAGCACGGTCACATGACTTCACGTCACCACCGCTAAGCTAAAGGTGGCTAATGTTGGGCTATAAAGGAACTACAGCACGGTCACATGACTTCACGTCACCACCGCTAAGCTAAAGGCGGCTAATGTTGGGCTATAAAGGAACTACAGCACGGTCACATGACTTCACGTCACCACCGCTAAGCTAAAGGTGGCTAATGTTGGGCTATAAAGGAACTACAGCACGGTCACATGACTTCACGTCACCACCGCTAAGCTAAAGGTGGCTAATGTTGGGCTACAAAGGAACTACAGTACGGTCACATGACTTCACGTCACCACCGCTAAGCTAAAGGCGGCTAATGTTGGGCTACAAAGGAACTACAGCACGGTCACATGACTTCACGTCACCACCGCTAAGCTAAAGGTGGCTAATGTTGGGCTACAAAGGAACTACAGCACGGTCACATGACTTCACGTCACCACCGCTAAGCTAAAGGCGGCTAATGTTGGGCTACAAAGGAACTACAGCACGGTCACATGACTTCACGTCACCACCGCTAAGCTAAAGGTGGCTAATGTTGAGCTATAAAGGAACTACAGCACGGTCACATGACTTCACGTCACCATCGCTAAGCTAAAGGAGGCTAATGTTGGGCTATAAAGGAACTACAGCACGGTCACGTGACTTCACGTCACCACCGCTAAGCTAAAGGTGGCTAATGTTGGGCTATAAAGGAACTACAGCACGGTCACATGACTTCACGTCACCACCGCTAAGCTAAAGGTGGCTAATGTTGGGCTATAAAGAAACTACTGCACGGTCACATGACTTCACGTCACCACCGCTAAGCTAAAGGTGGCTAATGTTGGGCTATAAAGGAACTACAGCACGGTCACATGACTTCACGTCACCACCGCTAAGCTAAAGGGGGCTAATGTTGGGCTATAAAAGAACTACAGCACGGTCACATGACTTCACGTCACCACCGCTAAGCTAAAGGTGACTAATGTTGGGCTATAAAGGAACTACAGCACGGTCACATGACTTCACGTCACCACCGCTAAGCTAAAGAAGGCTAATGTTGGGCTATAAAGGAACTACAGCATGGTCACATGACTTCACGTCACCACCGCTAAGCTAAAGGTGACTAATGTTGGGCTATAAAGGAACTACAGCACGGTCACATGACTTCACGTCACCACCGCTAAGCTAAAGGAGGCTAATGTTGGGCTATAAAGGAGCTACAGCACGGTCACATGACTTCACGTCACCACCGCTAAGCTAAAGGAGGCTAATGTTGGGCTATAAAGGAACTACAGCACGGTCACATGACTTCACGTCACCACCGCTAAGCTAAAGGAGGCTAATGTTGGGCTATAAAGGAACTACAGCACGGTCACATGACTTCACGTCACCACCGCTAAGCTAAAGGAGGCTAATGTTGGGCTATAAAGGAGCTACAGCACGGTCACATGACACACAACTGCTACACAGACCTTATTTCAGGATAACATGGAAAAAAAGACAACCAGATAACCATTGACCTTCAGACCATTGAGTCTCATGTGCCGGATCTGCTTACCCAGGACTTCCACAGTGATGTTCTTGGTCTTCTCTCCGCCGGCGTTCTTGGCGGTCAGCGTGTAGACGCCCAGGTGCTTCCTGGTGCAGGGTTTGATGACCAGAGACGAGCTGATGCCGGTCGTCTCCACCACTGCCTCTAGAGGCAGCGCGGCGCCATCTCGAGTCCATGTGACCTCGGGGGCCGGCTGGCCCGACACGTAGGCAATGATCCGGATCACTCCGCCGGCGTGGACCACCATCCTCTCCTTCACCGAGGCGTCCAGGTCCACCTCAGGAGCAACTGGGGAGGAGATCAGCGTTAGAGAAGGACGGTATGCAACATATTTAAGTCAGGAGAAGGGTCCCTCATTCATACTTCATGTCCAAATCTTCATAATTATTGGAGGTCAGAGATGGTAAAAGTACACACATCCTTTACTCAAGTAGAAGTACACACATCCTGTACTCAAGTAGAAGTACAGATACTCGTGTTTAAAAATACTCTGGTAAAAGTAGAAGTACTGACTAAACTTCTTTACTCAAGTCAAAGTAAAGAGGGCTTTGAAATGTACTTCAGTAAAAAGTACCCATAACTAGCAGCTGTTTTAAAGAGTACCTGACCTCCCTTTATATTAATAGAACAATAATGTCATTGTTAGCTAATGAATGTTTCCATGCTGAACAACGGCAACATGACAACGTTTTCATTGGTCCCTCTTCTTTAGAGAAGACCAGGAAATGATGGATACACGGATCGTGTTCAAATCAATAGGCACGCAATGACTCTAAAGAATATTTTTTTAACTGAATTAGAACACCCATTTACTTTCAACCACGATGACTAACATTCATCTCGACCTTTTCACATGTTTTTTGTTGTTGATGTTTCGTTTTTGCTTTTTGTGCTGTGATTTCAATCATCTGTTTGTCTATCATTTTAAATGTTTTTGTACGATTAATGTTGTCTTATTCTGTCGGGGGGGGGGTTAAAAGAAATGGAAAACCTGCACACCTGTTTTTTAGTGTCTGTTTACATCACATGTCACTTGTTCCATACTCTACACTGTCTCAGGGACACAACGACATGCTGACTGCAGTGGGGTTTGAACCTGTGACCCCTGATCCCAACACCAAGGCTCTGGCCACTGCGCCACACGCCAGGAAGGTGAGAGATGAGGATCTGTCTGAACTCTCAGAGCACTCACTGGTTCTGTCGTTGACCTCGAGCACCTCGGGAACCTCTCCCGGTTCTCCGTTACCGGCAGCGTTGAAAGCGGTCACCCTGAACTTGTATTTTCCGCCAGTCTTCAGGCCGGCGATCACCAGCCGGGTTCCGCGGATCTCCGTCTCTTTCGCCTGAAAACAGAAACAGGTCTCAGTTTCTACGATCAGCATCAGGGTCTCTAAAGTGTGAAGGCTCTCAGGAAAGTGTCCCACCTTCACCCAGGCCTCGGTGCCCTCCTCCTTGGACTCCACCCAGTAACCAATGATCTTGGAGCCTCCGTCCTTCAGGGGCGGGATCCAGTGCAGGTCCACAGAGGACTTGGTCCAATCAGAGATCTTGGGGGTGGGGGGAGAGGGCGGGGCTACAGGAGACAGACAGGTGTTAGCTTCCTGCTCGGTGTACAGAAACATGTGATTCTCTAATCTCAGACACAGGATTTATATCTGAAGACTCGTTAAGGGTTTTCGTAACTTTAATTATGTTGTCTCGCAATTTAACTGTTTTTAATTAAATTCACATCAAATTTAAATGTTGAAAAAATAATACATTCTGAGATGAATTTAACAATGATTTAAAAATGTCTAAACTCTGAATTTATCCTGAAAAATGTTAACTTTACTTGTAAAAACTTAAAAAAACATGATTTATTCAAAAAATCTGAATATTCATTCAAATGTTAGGAATAATCTCAGACACAGGATTTATATCTGAAGACAAGAAATCGTTAAGGGATTATTGAAATTATAGTTATATTGTCTGACAGTTTAACTGCTGGACAATTTTGTAACAAATTCACATTAATTACATAATTCTGAGATGGATAAAATAACTGATTCAAAATGTCTGAACTCTGAATTTATCCATAAAATGACTTATTTTTGCAAAAAATAAAAAAATAAAAGATTTTATTCTTTCTCTTTCTCTAATAACTGTGTTAATAATGCAGAGGCTCTTACAGATGGGGTCTCTGGCGAAGATGGGGTCTGTGAGGGCGCTGTAGGGCCCGGGCCCCGCGGCGTTGAGGGCGCAGACCCTGAACAGGTACTGCGAGCCCTCGATGAGCCCGGTCACGGTGAAGCTCTCGCCCATTCCCATTGGTCGGATCGGGTCCCGGGTCACTCGGGTCCAGCGCTTCCCGGTGGTCTCC